CCATGACAGGCTATCCATAATCGAATCATATCAATCATTGGTACAACACAGATCCCCTTCACATTTTTGGCTTGAATGACATGTGTTCGTCCTGGAACCGCTTCTTAGCTAGCGCGATCTACTTTATATAGCTTTATATGGGATATCTACTTTATGTGGAGTTTTTACTTCCAAGGTCCCGTTTTTAAGCAAACATCCGCAAGATGTTGCTTCTGACTTTGACCACTGAATGGATCCTTAACGGGTCCCTACTCTTTGGAAATGCAGGAATCTTCCAATGTTCATGGATTAAACATTCTTTTTATATCTTTTTATTTCATATTAGTTTCTCAAGGTTTTGTGATCAACATCCCTATCTCCCCAATCTGTTGGAGCGAAGGGCTTCTGCTCATTCCTGACGCTCCCCAGTCCCGCGCGTGCCAACTATTCCTTTAGCAGCGGCGTCAGCGGTGCTGGTATGTTCGTGTCCTGGCTCCGAAGGTTGAAGGATTGAACCATGATCAAACATTATGATATTCGGTTTTTAAACATTGGCTGGCTGGGAAATCCTCAAACATCCCCAAACTAAAGGAAAGTGTTAATGGGAAAATCATGTACATGGGAGGTCTTCCATTTGCCACGTTACCGGAGGGTACGATATTGGTGCTCAGGCATTCCCTCCGCGTCAAGATCAGTTTGGCAGTGGCTGCACCAACTTTTCCGCGGCTTGGTTCGACATGGCTCAACTCGAAATGCTACGACAGTGGGCTTCTCCAGAAATGGACTATTCAGATGTATTTCCCCATTTTCCCCTGCTTTTTAAATGGCCAAAGCGATCCAAAAAGATCCAAAAAGGATGACAAACCTTCTCAGAATGTAACATCAACCATTGGAGTTTTCTGGGCTATCCACATCTGCAGGTGCAAACAGCACCGCCTGGCAGTAGCACGCAGGGCAGTGTGCGCTTTGGTTCGGGGCAGCGCAAGTTGAAACGCACTTTGGCGGTCCATTGTGACACGGTATGGCTCAAAAATGGCATAATGGACATGTAGAAAATTTATGTTTGAGATGTTTGTTTGATTTTGTTTGTCAGCATCCCGAAATGTCGATTTATTTTGAGACATACCCATTTGGGGAGGGACGCATCTGACAGGGATTTACATACAGTAACCATGAAGGTGGTGACACAACCACTGGGGAGTCGGCCATTATAATGATGGAAGCGAAGAAGAGGGAAACACATTTTGCTCTTTACAGCCAAAGTCGGCCAGAAGACTTCAGACTTCTTCAAGTGCTCGCACAAAGACTGAGGACAAGAGATGGATGAAATTGTGGCAAGAAACAAGGCCAGCTCGACATGTCCGAAAGAGTTAATGCTTTCTTTTGGTGGAGATTACGTTGCCACATTGCATTATACCACGTTTTTACCACATGACGACATGACATGTGGAGACGCCATGACTTTGCTGGGAAAACGCTGCATTTCCACATTGCAGATTCGTTGGAAGTCCGTTCGTGCTTCAGGCGCACAGGAAGGTATTCACTTGGCTGCAACAAAATCGTGCCTTGCCTCTACTAATGGTGCAGTGATGTGCAGTGCTATGATTTTTGGCAATATCTCCATCAGTGCGTTGATTGCCACTGTGAATTGGTATTCAAGACATCTCCTCGCATCACAGACTCACTTCAGGATTCTCGAACGTGAATGCAGAAAGGTGGTTCCTGGGGAGGCGCCGAGTGTGTGGCGTTCCTGCTGTTCAGCCAATGGTAGCGAGTTTTTCATTGAGACCCAAAGAGACTTAAATCTTCCAAGTGTCAAAGTGTTCGTGTCATGAGTTCTGGATGCCACTTTGTGTGAGGGCGTACTTTCCTCTACACGCAGCTGTTCGAGAGATTCTGGGTATGCAATCTCATGGCTTTATGTAACAGAATCTGTATGTGTATCTCCAAACATCTCCTTTTCATGATGTGCCAAGGAACAATACGGAGATGGTGAAGTTGTTGCTCGAACTAAAGGCTGCTTCTAAGCTGCAAGTGCTCGCCGACATGCCAACCTTGACCGACGTGCTCGGCAGTTGGTCAGCCGATGTTCGCCTTTCTGTGGGTTTGAAAATAGGGCACCCCCAAATCACATGGTTTTTCACATGGTTTTTCACATGGTTTACCACCAAACATGATATTAACATGTTCCATTAATTTTTCCCCATTACATTGCATAAGATCGCCATAAATTGGATAAACATAATATGTAACCATCCTCAAATTGCTTCAGACCCGAATTTCAGGCCTCTGCTTTATGTAGCTCTACCAAGGATCCATTGAAAAAGAATTCCGGAGGAATGACGCCCTTGGACTACGCGCAATCAAAGCAGAGGCCGCCTCCAGTCGTTCCAAATTGGGGTCGGGCAGTTGGATGTCCAGTCGTCGTCAGTTCACATAGCTTTAATTATCACCCCACTGCTGAACTAACCCGGCTGATCATCCAGCTTAAAATTGAGGTTGTGACACGTGAAAATACATGCTACAACCGCTATAACCTATATACCTGGTTGGTGGTTTCAAACAGGATTTTTATTTTCCATGACTCATATATTAGGGGTGTCATCCCAACCCCATTGACGAAGTCCATCATTTCATATTTTTCAAGATGGTTAATTGCACCACCAACATCCACCAACCAGATACTGACTGGGATGCACTTCGATTAAGGTCATCCGGTCATCCATTGGACTCACCAGAGTCACCAGAATGGAATGATAGGCTGTTGAAGAACACAGCTCCCTGATACAACGTTCACAACTGGTAAAGAATGTAAGTTAATATATATGTTATACATTGTTGTACTATTATACTACTTAAAAGAAAATGATGTCTCTCTTGCAGAGAAGCCGGTTTCACCATTTCTGTCTTAGAATTTGGATCCAAGTGCCCGGAATGTGGTAGGTCATCTGTGATTTGCGATATTCTTCAGGACTATGAGTCACATGGCTGCGGTTCAGCAGAGGCCTGTTCCTCTGTTGAAAAACTCTTCCTGTCGCAGTTCCCAAGGCAGACGAGATCAATGCAACCTTGACCAGCTGGATGTAACTGGGCTGGCAAAGACCAATGCGGCAATGACCAATTGACCGCACGAAGCCCGCATTTTCCCTCGCTGAATGAGATCCGATTGAGATCGAAACTGTGTCCGATCAAAATTGCTTTGGATATTGATGAATATTGCTGGTGGTTTGCCATCGCAGGCCTTGCTTGTCGAATTTCTGAACAAATAGCAGGGCAGCTGAAACGTGGCATTCTCGCAATGCCTCGCACTTTCCAGTTCCTTGATAGCCTTATGAGCATTGCAAACAGACACGGACAGCCATGTTGGATTATCCTCTCTCTGTGAATACAAAAGTTTCTTCAAACAGAGACTCCGCGATAAGCATAGAATCTTTGGCAGCCCCAGTGCTGCTCCGGTTCACTCCCTCGGGGAGGGAATTATTTGGAACATGCTGCGAAGATGTCGCGAACGGCTTCCGTTTTGGTGTTGCTGCGCAGCGCTGCTTGGACTGGCATTGTAAATTTTGATCCAGCTTGAACGTATACCTGTATACCTTGACTGATCAGATGGAAGAGTCTTTTTGTCACCAGATTGAGTGTAGAGAAATGATGATGATTTTGGGATTGTCTCAAGAGTTGACACCTCAATCCCATGGTTTCTACTTGAGACAACCCCGAAATGAACTTTTGAAGCAAGCATCGCAGCCAGAGTGTTCCTCGGTTTCGAGGTTTCGAGCACTCCGACGTTTCACGTAGGCGAAACTCATAGACAAATGGCCCTGGGGGACCAAATGGCCGCTAGGAAGCGTCGAGTTCAAAATCTTGGAATTTGATATTAAATAAGTTGCCTGAGAGTCAATATGAGTACATTTTCGGGGTAACAGTGTTATCATAATGTTAGTGGTTAATAATCTATTTGAGTCCATTTGAGTTCCCCCTGCGACTGTTAGAGTTTCAATTGAGCGTCTTTGAGATTATTGCATTCTGTGCTGCTAAAAACGTAAATGAGTAAAATCGAGCGACTTCGAAAGAAGCTGATGTTTCCCAAAAAATAACTATGAAACAGCACTTTGAAAGAAATTGAGGTGGTTTGAGAAACCCCACCCCCAACAAAAACTGTGTTGATTTTGTTGATATACAGCTCTGAGCGAACAAATCCTTGGACCGGAGAAAAAGCCATTGAATAGTTTGGTTTCATTTGGTTGAAATTGAGGCCATTTGAGCAACTGGTCAATTAACAACTAAAATTTGCAATTGAGACAGTTTGTTTTTTTTGAAGCATTTTGAGTTCTTTTTGTTTTTGGTTGTTGGCTATTTGGTAATGTCTTGGCATCATGTTTTGGACATCTCCATCAGCCATATTTTTCATCCCAGCGAGCTGTTCTGAGCCAGCTAGAGTGCACACAGAAAGCGTGCGAAATATTTTGAGATTTCAACATCCGAAAATGGCCCCTCAATTTATCTCAAAAAATGGCCGACAAGATTCTGTCAATTTTGGTTTGGTTTAAGTCGTGGTCGAGTGCTGCATGAGCATGTTTGAAGCCTTTTGACTGGTTTTGAGGTTAAAACAAAAATACTCAAAATGTTGCATTTCCGCAAGGCCATTTGGTCCCCCCAGGGCCATTTGTCTATGAGAAACAACCCATCTGGTGGGCGACACGGCACCAGAAAAGGCGAACAGAGATGATATGCCCATTTTGTTGCTGTTTGATTCATGAATCTGCTTTGTTGTTGACAACATATTGGCAGATAGGCTATGAATGGCTATGATTTGAAGACATTTAACATATTTGAACACATTTGAACCACATTTGGCTATGATTTGAACACATTTGAAGCACCGATTTGCCTCGTCTCAGGCAGTTTTTGGACTTTTCGAAGGACCCAAGCTGGTTGCCTACGCCATGCCCTGGACTCAGATATCTGATTGCCCACTGGGATGCTTGGGGAATCATGGCATTTCGAAACCGACACCAGGCCTGGGGTTTTCAACGTCTCTATGCCGAAGCTTGTCGGAAATTATGCATAGGTCAAAACGATTGAAAACAGCAGACAACCAGCAAAGCAGAGTAAAACTGCCTTGAGGGAGCATCCTTGTTTCGTTTTATCTCAAGAAGTGGCCTACAGGGAAAATATATGAAACTATCATGTCATCATGTAATCATAGTTATCTTAAATGTGATATTTTTCTACATCACAGGCTTTCCTGATGATTTTTCCCATGGATTTTTATACCATGGAAAATTTCGTCCATCTCCTGGTTTCCGAGATCCCCCAGCCTCGGTGCCAGGCCCGAGTATGTCTTAAAGAAGACTGCGCCTGGCTTGTTGGCCTGGCAGGGCGACCGCATCCAACCAGTGGAGGTGGCAGAATTTCCAGCAGAATTTCACCATGGAAAGATCCAGCAGAGATGTTGCTGCCATGGCGACTTTAATAAACGTGGAACCCGGCCTGGTCAACCTACAAAAAACATCAAAAAACTATGGAAAATCAACAGCATTTTTAATGGGTACATCCACGAACTACATCACCAGTTTCAATAGCTTTTTGTATGTTGACCAGAGGGTATATGCTTGAGAAATCACTGATCTTAATAATGTCAAGCCCGGATTAATAAACCTCAAACGGCTGTTTAATTGGGGGGTACCATTTCAGTATTGGATTCATCCCGTGGCATCCCATCAACATGGTGCTGCTATTTGTTTGGTGTGCCATGGATCCCATCAACATAGCCCATGAAATGATGTTAGCATATATATATCGGCACCATGGATCCGTCATGGGTTAAGAAACATGAAAATAACCAGTATAATAAACATGTAACATTCATAAACATTCATAATCATGATATAATATACAGAAATGACATGAAATGACAGATTTTTTTGCATATGGGTATGGGTCAAAATTAGGTACCCCAAAATTATGGATGGTTAATACTAAACTAGACTAACATCTGTGGTCCCCTAGGTCTTCCATTTTGACCCACATCCATATGGAGATGAAACATCTATTACCATTGTACCATTCATAGATCATTTCCCAGGCCTTCGGCTTCCGCGGTGCCAGGTGATGACGGCCAAGTCCAAGGCTCCCGGGCTCCCGGCCTTTGTGCACCGTTGCCACGCGGAAGGGAAGCTGATCCTCAGAATCCTTCGCCGCTAGAAATTGGCGTAGATGTAGAAAGCATTAGAAGGCTGAGTGTGATATCTAATATAATTATATTAATATAATTATATATATATATTAATATATATATAGATATTTGGTTGGTGGTTTCAAACATGACTGGATTATTTTCCATTTCATATATGGGATGTCATCCTTCCCATTGACTTTCATATTTTTCAAGATGAGTAAAAACCAGCAACCAGATATATCTTTATATTTAACCTGTACTACTTGTATTTCGCATGTATTTTCCGTACAGATAACTGTGTGACCACAGCAACAATTAGTTAAATGTATCTTTCACCAGCCATTGAAGGATTGAAACAGCAAAAAGGGGAACTTCCAACAATGATCAGGATCAAACATGTATGATGCATGATACATAATATAGAATTACATGTAGTATGTCTATACGGTAACGACATTTAAATATGTGGAGGGCGGGCCAGACCGTGAGCCCGGAGGTAGTATGAAATACCAGTTCGTATATTTAAATGTAGTTACCAGATGTTTAAATGAATTGGATTCCGTATGTTTAAATGGCCGGGCGGGCCAAGGAAAACCTTCCCGGAGGTAGTCTAAAATACCGGTTCGTATATTTAAAAGTCCGTATATTTAAATGTAGTTACCGTATATATATATATAATATATATACATACATATATGTATATACATATTTCGGAAGTTTCAATGCCGTAATGCAGATGACAAAACGGATTGCTCATGGCATAGATCAAACTGACCTGAAAAGTGGAGATGACAAAACGAAGGCCCAACCCTGAGACCTTGGACCAATGGACATTTGACGACTCGATGGTGATATGACCTGGTCATTCCCGGAACTTTGCAGTTCCCAGGTGTTCCTATGGATGTTTGAGTACCATTTTTGGAGCCATACCTGAGCCAAGTCTTGCACAGAAAGAAGCTGTTTGCTCACTTCAGGCAGTAGAGTTTACCACCCTTGCAGAGGCAGGATTGCTACAGCCACGAACTGCAAAAAATGCAACCTTGAAACGGGCTACCAACGAGACTTGACTTAAAAACCAAATCCCAAAAATTAGCCAGTTTTCATTTGGGGTTGCAAAATAGAATACCGATGGATACCTCAAAAACCGTGGATCATCATGTTCTGATGGAGGTTGCCCAAAATGTGGGTCCCCCCAAATCATCCAAGTCATTAGCTTTTGTTTTAGTATTGAAAGCTATGGTGAATCCTCCATTTTAAGAAACCACCAAGTTGGATAAAGGCTGGTGCAACTATCAAAAGTGGTACGAAAATCATGGGAGTATTGTAGTGGAAATAGCTTTGACCTACCCTCTGGTAAACTAACATAGCTATTGAAAATGGCAATTTATAGTTGATTGCCCCATTGAACATGGTGATTTTCCATAGTTATGTAAACGTTTACCAGAGGGAATTGACCATTATTAACCAACAATCATCAATAGTATTAACCAACAATCACCAATATTGTTCACCAGCATTATTATTATTAACCATTATTTAACCATGATGATTATTAACAATTATATTATATTACTCTTTTGTTGTATCCCCTCCAATTCCCAGTTCTTGTGAGGCCTTGGGTGCGAACGCCACAGAGGTGGGCGAACGCATGGCGAAGGTGAGACCGTCAGGTGCCACTGGAGCACTGGGGATGGGAGGATGCCAGGACGCTGGAAGACATGATGTGTTAAGAAATGCTACCCTTTGGTTATGACTAACAGTTTGCCATGGAAGATCCCAACCATCAATGGAGGTTTCGATCGCTGGGAAAATCATCTATTTCTATGGGCTATCTATACCATGGCTATGTTAGTCATAACCAGCGGGTAGTACATTTTAATATATCTGTGGATGGATAGATACTGTAGATAGGTAGATAGGTAGACAGATCGACAGACAGATAGATAGATAATAGAAGAGAATGGAATAGAATAGAATAGAATAGAAAGAAAGAAAGAAAGATAGATAGATAGTTAGATAGATATGTAGATTTAGAATGAACCAACATCCTGAAAACATGGAAGTATTCTCATGGATCGTGAAAGATCTTGGATGAAAACCACGTTGCGAATCGTCCTGTTTTGGGTCGCAACAACGCGCAGTTCGCGTCAACACCACGGTGGAAGCGACCCTCGTGGAGGCACGAAGCATTTCATGCAGCATTTCATTCATAGTCATGGGTACCCCCAGTTATCATAATTTCTAGATGGAGACAGTCCATGAAAGAACTTAAATAAACCATCCTGCGATAAATTTTTAGCGCTACCCCCATGACTTGTTGGAAACCTCAATTTTTGAGCTACCCAATAATCCTATGGATTATCCGAATCAGGTTCACACTTAAGTAGTTTAAGATCTCTGCCAGTGGCGCTGGTGTATCCAACGTCGTGGATCCGAATCACAGTCCAAACTTCCTCTTCCTCCAAGGCTCTGGTGGATCCTGCAGAAAAAGGCCCCATCAATGACGTCAGCTCCATGAATACCAGCAGATTTTTTAGATGACGTGAGTTCACCGTTTTCGAAAAACCTCTGGAGGTTTGGATACCTATCAGTTCGAATTCGTCAGTGACTTCATCCATGAGACCAGCACTCAGTGACCCAGTGTTTGCAAACGTTTCTGTGGCTGGGCTGTTTGCAAAACCAACGTTGTGAATCCAGGGGGCGGCAACAGTTCCATGTATCTGACAGCAACGCTTAGTTGCTGACTTTTGATTTGCGGATCCCTTGCGGATCCAGCGGTGAGGTTGAAACTCTACGCTTTGCTGAAGGCTGAGGGTCAAAACTATTTGTGCAGTGTCAGCTGGGGCCTAAAATCGTGGTCAGCGTGCGTCGTGAAATGACAAAAAGAGATGCCAAAAATGGAGATGTGCCACATGACAAACATTGGCTTTCAAAATGATACCCATAAAAAAGCAAGAAACATATGGCAAATTCGAAAAAAGGAAAAATGATGGAAAAGTATCATCCATCCATGCAACCCATGCAATCATTGTTTTGAGTCCACCCAACTGACACCTGCACCAAGACCTTAGAACACCAGCCCTGTTGTGGGAAGATCGGCAGGACCGTTTTTTGCCGCCTTCTGTGGTAACTTCACCGGCCATGGGATTCACTTTTTTTTTCGTTGCAGCATTTGGGGGTTCGTCCAAAGCTGGAGTATACCCTCTGGTAAACATACAAAAAGCTATTGAACATGGCCATAGAAATAGTTGATTTACCCATTAAAAATGGTGGATCTTTCAATAGTTATGTAAACGTAGAAACCAGGCCGGGTACCATGGGATTTATCCCTTCGAAAGCTATGACGGGTGGCCCTGATCCCAAGCAGGAGAAGTTCCGGGGGATCATGGCGAGCCTGACGCCCCTGGAAGCGAAGCGCTGGCCGGTTTTGTTCTTCAGAGATTTCTATGGTCTGATGGTGTTGCAACTGGGACATGACATTGATGACATTGCCAAGAGAAAGTGGAAGATGTGGAAGTCCTGATGCAACTAGGGATAAGATGCAGAATAAGATGCAGAAGATTTTTCAGAATTTTCTGCAGTGATGTGCGCAATTTTTGTCGGGTCTGGCCGGCCTGGAAAGAACTGATGCCAGGCAGCCAAACAGGACATCAAGTGCTTAGACCTCTCGGAGAGCGATCCAAATGGCACCTGTTGAAGTGCGGCAGCGATCCAAAGTCAACTCTCAACAGTGACTTTTGTACTCTAGTTATCTTTAGTTATCTTTAGTTATCTTTATTGCACTTTGGGTTTGTCTGAGAATTGGATATATTCCCCAAAATGGCCAGTTCAATAAATCATGGGATTTGGGTAGCCAGGCCTTGAAATGGATGAAATCTTTGACGTGCTGCAGTGCTGCCTCAAAATCGTTTATTCCCGTTGCAGGACCTCACATGCGGAAAAAACACACGTGTGAACCTGTCACATGTGTCATCGGTCTATCAACTATTGCTGTCATTCCAAGTTTATGTTGATATTATCAACACAAATCAACATTGATAACAACAATCATGGATATTAATGGGACATAATTATATAATCCATTATAATCCATTACAATCAACCATGGGATATCACAACAGCCATTGAAGAAGATCTTGTTTTGAACCATGGAGGACCTGCAGCGAGTCCTAAAAACTTGTGGCGTAATTTAGCCGTTTCGCCAGAATTTTCACCCAATTTTCAGGCATGTACAGGAACTCTAAGCACATTGCGATTGCGGGGAGCAATGATGGCTTGGTTGATTTTTATTTCATTTTCTTCTATCGTCATGGTTTCCGGTTGGACTTGTTGCGACCACAAGTTCAAGTGAGATCCAACATTAGGTTGTCATCAGGTACTTTGGAAGGTTTCCAACGTCTGCCATCAAGGGATGTCCTTTCCTCAAGACGTATATTATTCCCAGAATGTTTGGCAAGAGATGGCAATGGAAACAATCTTCGACAAGTCGCAAGCTTTCTACCTTGGAAGTGTTTGCCAGAACAATCATAAGCAAAGAAGGATAGGGCTTCATTCTTGCGCACTGTTTTTACCGGAATATCTGACATGATTGCAATTGTTGGAAGAGAAGGTCTCACCAGTCTCAGGCTTGATGATGTTGATCCCAATTTAGCAGGTTAGCTGAAATACGCTGTGTGGAATCATCTTAAGGAAAAGCTGACCTGAGGGTCCTCTCTTCAGACGAGTACTTGACTTGTTTAGGCTTGCTGACAAGATGCCTGTTGCTTGATTGGTTAGCTTGAGCTCGGGTTTTGAAGTGACATTTGCTACTAAGACACTCGGCCTTTTGTGGGTGTTCTTATCGCTTTGTGGCATGTGCCTTGCTTGTGGAAATGACTTGCAAAAGTCCGAACAACTAAGCAAACTTCCCAGCTTCAGAATCGTGTGTAGAGGAATCTCGATCTCCAACCTACCACGCAGAGGTGTAGAAACAAGCCATGTCTTTGAAGCCATCCATTAGTTTGTTCAGGACTTTTTCTGCAAGTTTTTCGCGGCCAATGCAAAACTTGCTTCCTTCTTTGTCACTGCTTTTACCGGAATATCTGACATGATTGCAATTGTTGGAAGAGAAGGTCTCACCAGTCTCAGGCTTGATGATGTTGATTCCAATTTAGCAGGTTAGCTGAAATACGCTGTGTGGAATCATCTTAAGGAAAAACTGACCTGAGGGTCCTCTCTTCAGACGAGTACTTGACTTGTTTAGGCTTGCTGACAAGATGCCTGTTGCTTGATTGGTTAGCTTGAGCTCGGGTTTTGAAGTGACATTTGCTACTAAGACACTCGGCCTTTTGTGGGTGTCTTGATCTCTTTGTGGCATGTACCTTGCTTGTGGAAATGACTTGCAAAAGTCCGAACAAGTAAGCAAACTTCCCAACTTCAGAATCGTGTGTAGAGGAATCTCGATCTCCAACCTACCACGCAGAGGTGTAGAAACAAGCCATGTCTTTGGAGCCATCCATTAGTTTCTTCAGGACTTTTTTCTGCAAGTTTTTCGCGGCCAATGCAAAACTTGCTTCCTTCTTTGTCACTGCTTTTACCGGAATATCTGACATGATTGCAATTGTTGGAAGAGAAGGTCTCACCAGTCTCAGGCTTGATGATGTTGATTCCAATTTAGCAGGTTAGCTGAAATACGCTGTGTGGAATCATCTTAAGGAAAAACTGACCTGAGGGTCCTCTCTTCAGACGAGTACTTGACTTGTTTAGGCTTGCTGACAAGATGCCTGTTGCTTGATTGGTTAGCTTGAGCTCGGGTTTTGAAGTGACATTTGCTACTAAGACACTCGGCCTTTCCTGGGTTTTGAACGGTTTTAAGATATTATGCAATGTATGTAAAATTGTGCACATATGCATTATAGATACATGCACCGTAGTATACAGAACAGAAGTGATCCATAATTATCCTATTTTAGATTTGTGGTGTTTGCAAGATTCAAAGGGGTGCTCTTTTTGTCAAGACTCTGCTTATGCAGCTTTGGGCTTGCAGGTGTTCAGTTGCACTTCGGGTTGCACATTTGGAGAAGAACTCTTCTGGGACCACGGAGTCAGAAAGATCGCACCAGTCCTTGTCACAGCTGTATAATTCACAGTGGGTCGCTAGGATCCGATGATCAACATCTTTCCAGGACCTAGGGACCTAGGGCGTCCCTGACACATCAAGGATCATCCAAGCATCGCCATCCAAACATCGCCAGAAAACAATAGTGATAAACATTCAACGGCATCGTATAAATAGCATTAAACATATATATATACATACATCATACTGGGTGGTTGTTTGGAAGATGGCTTTTATTTTTTCCATCATATTGGGAAGTTCATCATCCCAACTGACTTTCACTCCATCATTTTTCAGAGGGCTTGGTGGCTCAACCACCAACCAGATGATTATCAACCATCATGAACCATCATCTTAACCATTAACAGTACCCATAGGATCCATGTATGCTTTATATATGGTAACATGGATCCCATCAATATGCCCCCTTTATGTTAGCATATATACCAGCACCATGGATCCTATGGGGTATATTAACCATCATCATTAACCATCATCTTAACCATCATTAACCATCATCTTAACCATTATTAACAGTATATTAACAGTATATTAACAGTATATTAACCACATATTAACCAGATATAGTTCCAGCCCGTCCTACGGGTCGTCCCTTTTTGCGTCCAGCCTCGCGTCCCGTTGCATGGCTGGTCGCAAAGTCATCAAGGCGCAGAACTGCGCGCAACGCATCGAGGCAGCCACCAGCACACGCTCTCAGGCGCCACAGGGGTGGACCGGGACCGGCGAGCAACTACGAGATGTCAAACAGATTATGTGATATGTCTATGTACATATTATATATAAAAATATAATATATATACCTGCATCTTCATCTTGATGCCCTTTTTATGCCTTTGGGTGAATAGTTGGTTTTCAGGTTTCCCAGGAAATCAGCGGCAATTCCTTGATTGCTCAAGTTCTGTGGGGCCCCAGGGTCCTATTCATGTTACATATCAGTGCACATCATCTAAAATCATATTATATAATAGAGACCTATTGGGGAACTTGACCATATTATGGATGATCACCTATGAGAAGAACCCATCACCAACCCATAGGATCGAAAGGGTTACTCAACCAAATGTTTTAACATGTTAACCTCTAGAAACCTCTCACCACCCAGAGCCAAATTCTGGGAGAGCCCTTTTCTCGCCATCGATGGGTGAGCGCGGCTATGATCTAATGAATCTTTGGCCTGGCCGTGGATGTCGGGTGGGCTTGGCATGTTTGCTGCGTGTGGACCTGGGTGGGCATGCAATGTGCATTTTGCAAACATTATGATATATGATCCATCGTTTTGGGCTTAAGCTACGCAGTGAGATCATAGTTCAAAGGTTGGAGTGAACCAATTTGAGCTGGGCTCTATGATGTCCAGTTTGGTGAAGAAAGAGGATGCCGGTGGCTCTTCTGGTGTCCCCAAAGACTCTACAACCAAGCGGGGGAAGGGAAAAGTGATGAACTTTGAGTTAGCTCACAGGTTTGAGGATTCCAGGTTGATCCGAGAACTTGTTCGTGAGAATGGCCGCTTGATCCGATGGTTGAGTGAAAAGCACGTCAACATCATCAATTTGGAAACTCTTGGGCTTAATTCCACTTTGATGAAGCTTGTTGTGGACTACCACTGTTCTGGGACAAAGGTCATCAAGGCTCCTGGCATTGATTTCCTGAAAGCCCAGGTCAGGAACTACTCTCAAATTGTTCTAAACCAAACATTTTAAATCTTAAATAAAACCCAACATCCCTCTTATATATAACAGTATAACATTCCTCTTGTGCAAGGCTTTAGACCCAGTGGCGATTCACCATGATGCATGGGCCATCAAGAAGCTTTTTTCTTGTTCTTTGCGAAGGACAGGATGTGACAGCCGGAGTTCTCTTGAGCATCAAAGCCCCACCCGACGGGTTTCTTCCCTATATCAAGTTGGCATTTTTCCCACCACCATGAAGCAAGAACACTATATTTTTTGGATTGTTTGGGAATAGTAATCTGTCCTGTCCGACTTATGATGTTTTGCTTTGTCCAAGGCTCCTGGGGTTGCTGAGTACTACGATGTCATGTACAAGCACTGGGAGTCTGAGCTGAAAGCTCTTCAGGCGCAAAGGGCTACTCAGAAGGCAAAAGGGGCTACTGTGATTGAGATTCCCGATGATGATGGTGACAACCTAGCATCCCTGGAAGACAAGTCCCTGAAACAAGCTGAGAGAGGCATCGTGGTAGAGGGTGTGATTTATCTCGACACGGACAAGGGTTGGAAAGTTGAAGAGATTGCAGTTGAGACGGGTGGCATGGTTTCCAAGAATGACACGGTTGACAAGACCAAGGAGGTTGACAATGGCAACACCGGCAATGTGGCTGACAAGGGCCTTGCAACCACATGTGAGAAGGATGAGACGGTAGGTGGGGGTGCCAAAGTGGACAAGGGCCCGGTGGTTGAGTCAATGGCTGAACCTCTCCCCACATTGAGCCGTCGACTTGCAAAGATCAGCATTGATGATGTGTTGAACCCACCTGGACTACCTCCTTACAATTCGTTGCCTGGGCCTCCTGTTGTTCCCAGAGGACATGACTCACCAGAACCACGCCTCACTGTGGAAGACTGTGACGCCAAAATCAAGTTGCTCAAGATTCTCAATTTAAAGGTATAGCAATATTTCAACAGTGTTTTGAATCGACAATTTCATGGGGATGTTTGTGGTAGGGTGTGATGCTTTAAAACACTTTCAATTCCTTTGGTGACCCCGGTGACCCCTGGCCGTGCTAAGGGAAGCCGTGGAGCGCAAGCGGAAGGAAAAGATGCACAATTTTGTTCCACAGGCGTCCCCACCGGCAATTGACCCAAGCACTGTTGAGACTCTACCCTACGATCCTTACGGTGGAGACCAAGTTGACAACCCAAATGCTGAGAGCCCCGAGAGCATCCTGATCAACGAGGCCGACCACCCATACTTCACTGAGAATTCCTGGTGGAAGGTGGAGAGGTATAACGAGGAGAACCACACAAAGAAACAGGTGGATGGAGAGTCAGTTCAACAAGCCTTGGACCCTTGTGACGAGATCCCCTCGCACGACCAGATGGACACACCTTCTCCACCGGCAACGGTTCCTGAAAGGGACCAGCCGACGGACATGCACCTTGAACCCAAGGATGTTGAGATGGACCAGAAGACGAAAGAACCCCAGGAGAAGAAGGAATTTGAGGAGAAGAAGGATGAAACTGAGGAGAAGAAGGATGAAACTGAGGAGCAGAAGGAAGCTGGGGAGACGCAGGAAGATGAGGTGGAGGAGGAAGAACCCGAGGTAGGGACGAAGGATCCTGAGATGGTGGAGGAGCAGAAGAGTCAAGAGGCAAAGTTGGAAAGCGAGGTGGAGAAGATGCCTGAGGTAAAGAAGATGACACCCGAGAGCATGAACACAGATCACGTTGAGCCCGAGGTGACCCAGGAAGCTGTTGTGGCTGTTCTCGAACACATGCTCAAAGAAGGCTTGGATCTTAGCATGGCCATTCACCAGCTGAAGGGTGCCATGTTGGAGACCGAGCAGGGTATCCCCATCGTTGATCGCATCAAACAGTTTCAGCTGAAGAACCTCAACAAGCCTGGACCTGAGACTGATGAGACCCCTGAAGAGGAGAAGAAGCCGGCAAAACCCAAGGCACGTGGGAAGGCCAAGGCCAAAGCTTCAGCAAAGCCAAAAGCTTCCGGCAGACGTCCCCGTGCCAAGGCAAAAGCAAAAGCAAAGGCAAAGGCAAAGGCAGAAAAGGCAGCAAAGGCATCGGCAGCTGAGGAGATCGAAGATGATGATGTTGAAGTGGTTGATGGGGCCAATGATGAGGAGAAAAGCACTGAGAACACGACGATGGAAGAGGAACAGTCGAACACCAAGCCTGGCAATGCAAAGGCCATGGACAAACCGGACAAGGAGAAGAACCATGTGAAGGATACGGAGGAGGACAAGCCGAAAAAGAAGAGGAAGGATGATCAGGAGCCAGGTGATGAAGGAGCAAAGAAGCCGAAGACAGCAAAGAGTTTCGCTCGCCGAGTTTGTCCCAGTACCTCCCCGGCCAAGGACAAGTACTTGGCTATCATGGAAGTGTTCAAAACGGAGATTCAGGACAAGCTGAAGGAGAATGGAGAGAAGATTTCCAAGTGGGAGGACAGGGGTTATATATAAATTTATCAATAGCATATCATATCTATAATTAGGGGTTTGAAGTTTAGTCTCTTGTTGGGTCTTGTTGTGGGTTGTGGGTTAAGTTGGCAAGGGTCAGGAAACAGCTGTCGTATGTTTTCCCTGGCAGGAGCCATTCTGGAACATGGCCACCAAGTCGATCAAGAGGGCGGAGGAGAAGAAGGGCCCGTTGGAAACCCATGAGTATCGTCAAATGGCCCGTGTCGCCGTTCCCAACTTCTTGAGCGTTGCCTTGCCAGCTTAGGAGGTTCCGGTAGCCTTTGCGGTTTCACATCGCAGGTGTTTTGCCCTGATTTTGGGGCTTGGTTCAGCTTCTTAGCCCATTTGCAAAAGGGGTACCAATATACCTAATCCACCTCTTCAATTTTGACACCTTCTATTAATTGCCTTACTAGTCCTGTATTTGCCATATTAACCAACTCTGAATGGTTTCCCTTGCTTTTGAATGAAGCTGGCCACATTTGAGGGGGCCCAGTGCGTGAATTCCCGCATTGGGGTTGTGAGATCTTTTCTGGTTGCACATGCGTGCACTTACGGGTATCACGAGTGCTACTCGTGCTTAGCATTGGCCTTTGGCTGGCCACAATCATCTGGATCTAGTGCAGTGGAAAAAGACATTGATCATATATGTGCACTAGACCCAACTATAGGTTCAATCTGAAGTGGAAAGAAAGATATAGTGTGGCCTAGAAAACTTTCCCATTCCCTGCCTCTCAGAGTCATAGTTTTTTCCCACTTTGCTATCTCAGCCTCTGCCAGGTGGGCCATGTACGGCTTGAAGAAAGGCCAGATTGGACTGGCAAAGTTCGGTGTGGGGAGCTACAACCAACAAAGTAAACCCGACGTGTTTGCAGCTAGCATGTTTTCTTAAAGACCTTCAAAGATCCAATGTGTTCAGAACATGTTTCACAAATCTTTGCGATTTGCAAGTCTCTATCATGATCATGCAAAGGGCATGAGCCAAGTTGATGGAATGGAACCTTGCAACCACCCACTCGCAGCCAAATCGGCACTGTGCTCCATGATGTTCCATGTGTACTGATTACCGTTTATTCTGCTGAAACGGTTTCCTGGATCTGCCCATGGGACCTCAAGAGCGTGAGACCTTCTTCAAGCGAATGTTTGCCCTGGGTGTTCCCAAAGCTTCTTGGTTGAATTATATATATATTTTAACTCAAGAGTAGCTAGAGTTTGAAAAAATCAAGATTGAACCATATGCCATTTAATGAACATTTTTCGAACACTTTCCCAAACGACAGTTGCCCCGACCCCATCCGGCCACGGCACATCAGCCACGCTTTGTGACTTGAGGTCATCATCTTTCTCGTTCTCCTCGTCAGCTGGTTGCCGGACAAGGAGGCGGCAACTGATATCCAGGTGGTGGAGTACTTCTCGGGTGTGGGACGGATGGCAGCTGTTTCTGACTATGTTGGATACAAATCAATGAAATTTGATATGAACGAGGGAGCTTCCACTGCCCGCAAAAGTGGGAGACGCAACCCTTGCGATTTGAATTCCAATGCGGGTTTTATTCTGGCAATCAAACTGGTACTGAGGGGCAAGTTCAATGAACTAGTTGCTACATTTGGCATTTGCTGCAGCTCATTTGTTCCTGTCAACCGTGGTACTGGATGTCGTGACTTACTAGTACCAGAGGGGATGAAGCCATCGTATCTGTAAGAAAAGCAAACAAACTTCTTTCTCGGAACCTTGTATGACTTCAATGGCAACCTGTTTGCTGAAACATGTTGACCCCCAAAAAGGCACATACAATATTATATAGTTTATAAACAAGTATTATATCGTAATAGTATATGATCCACATGACTTTCTTGCCCAGGACTGTTATTCTGATGATTCTGGTGATATGTGCTGGTGGAACCATCTTGATGGAGAACCCGCAGAACAGCTTGGTTGCAATGCAAAGCCGGTTTGTTTGGCTAGTCAAATTGCTTGAAAGGGCAAAAATTCCCGTCCCTTGTCCCTATGCTGTTATATATATATATATATCTTGATGGTGTCACTGAATCACACAGATTTTGAGTACGCACAGTTCACACTGGTTCATACTAACTCTGCATGATTGATTTGACACTAAGATTTTCAAAATCGCGTTCTGGATGCGGAAGCATTTGAGCAAAACCCTGAAGCGCACCTGGATCTGGTCAACCTCAAATCGCATTGCCAAGTTGGACCTCGGCCCACTTTTGCCATGGGAACGGGTGACAAAGGTAAGAACCACTATACGGAAAAAGGATAAGAATGGCCAGGTGAAGTGGCAGGGATCCAAAGACCTAAAAGCCACCCAGCATTTGGACAGCACAATGATGAACTGGTTTTCCTTTTTCAAGTTAAATGGTTTTCCTTTTATATGATCCCCCCTTATTGGAATGGTTTATTGGGTTTTATGTAAATAGTCTTCCTTTCTGTGAACCAGGCAGTACACGTGGCGCTTTGCACGGCACATGGTGGAGCTGTTCCCCAAATTTATTGAAGATGAACCGCATAAATTGCTCCCGGCTGATTCTAGCCAGCAAATGTGAACCCAATGTCTACCCATGAAAGTAAACCCTGAAATGTCCTATTTACAAGTTAAGGATAGTTAAGGGCATTTTGGATCTTGAGATTATATCCCAAAGTCCAAAACCCAACATTTCACCTGCATCTTCCCGGCCCTAGGTATCGACCAAAAGCCTCTTGGAACTTTGGAATGAGACGGATTTCACCGAATGCTGGGATGACTGTAGTGATTTAAAGGATGTCTTGGTTTATGCCAGGGGGTCCAAATTGTTAGACATTCCTGAATGCTGGCGAAGCTCACTGCCTCGTAGCTTGTAAACCACAGGAGTTCCCAGCTTGAAGCACCTAGTGGCATGGAAGAAACACTGGGTGATCATTGCTGCTGGGAGTGGGGGTCCCCTTCTGAATTTAGGGTTTCTTTTACCAAGTTCAAGCCTTATTTATATATACTATCATGGGTGTTCAGGAAATCTATGAATAACACAATTCATATGACAAAAATTTGGGAAACCAACTTTATTCATGGATTACATGAATAATCTGAACCCTTAAATGAGGATTGTTCAAAAAAAATATAATTTGCATATGAAGGGTTCAGATTGTTCATGGAATCCATGAAGAATCATTTTGGTACATGAAGGGTTCAGATTATTCATGGAATCCATCAATAATCATATCGGCATATATATAAACATTCACATTGTTCATGGAATCTATGAAGAATGTGATGCTGATGCTAAAAAAAACATAAAATTCATGAATTGGCAGCGGCGGGAATCGCCGGGTTTGCGCCAGGAATTCATGGGATTGCGGCAGAAAAACCCGGTCAGCTGTTTTTGGCTTGGTTGAAATCATAGGATGTTTGGCATTTCCCTGCCTTCTCGTGCTTTTAGCTCCCAGTCTCTGATGGATGGTGAAATGGTCATGGGCTCCCAAAAGTTCGATGATATGAGCGAAGCTGATATGCTAGCTGAACTTGAGAAACTTGAGGACAGAATATATGAACAAATCGTGTTTAGTTTTTGAAATTTGATTATTGAGCAGTGTTGCATAAACACACTTCGTTACAGTTTCTGGTTAGCATTTTAAGATGGTTGTGAACCCATTGCTCTCCCCAGGAGCTCAAGCGTGTGGCATGTGCAAGACCAGTAGCTGCACCGCTTCGTACTGGTGGTGACACTGGTGCAACGGGCATGGAATCAGTTCTCTGGAACTAAGTTTATGGTTGACCTTCTCTATAGTTCTTCCTGAAACATTATGGATTCAGTGAAAATCAATCTTCATTATCACAGTTTTAAATGGACTCTGTTTGCAGCCAAGGCTATGGATGGCCCAAAAGATGATCGTGAAGTATTTGCCCGAAATCTTCATGCGGCCCTGTCAGAGGCTGCCTCCACACCCCCGGTGACCCCGCCTGCCCGGATGCCATCCTTTGCATCGGATCCTGGCCAGTTGGAGGTTCTAGACACGAAGTCGGTCTTAGAATCTTTGTCGGTGTCTGCTATGAAAAAACGAATTGCCAGGTTGATGACCCCAAAAAGTGATGGATCCTACAAGGTTCCCAAGGAGTTAGTGGATGCATGGAAGGCTGGAGAACATGATCGAATTGTCCAGGATTTTGTGGATGCTGGTTATGACAAGGAGCCCAACATCAAAGTTTCAATTAACATTCCACCATGTGTTAAGCTAAACAAATGGTTATAATACTTTTGTTTATAGTTATATGTTGTTTTCAACCATTTTCTGCCCCAATAGAAGCAAAAAAACACATCGGGGATGATATTGTTTTGGTTTCTGGGTGTGTTTGTTTCTAGGGGCTTTTGGAACGAAACCCCATCAGGACAGTTTCGTCACCAGAAGTCTCAAGAGATTGAAGGAAAAGACTTCAGAGCAAGAGATGTGGGTTGATGGTGAGTTTGTGTCGGAAACGGACATGAAAGACCGTCTCAAGCTCTCGGAGCTACTTGGTTGTCATGCATGGTACAATTGTCATGTATTGCAACAAGGGGATGCTGAATAAAAAATGGATTTGAAGGGATGATCTCACATATAATGTTTCATGTATCAAAAATCCATACTATAAGAATGAAACCTTAGCATCCCTACCAGCCCATTAGGTCGAGAATCAAGTCCGTCAAAGCTATTTGCGAGAAGAACAGTGGATGGGTGAGGTGCATTTGGCTGCACTTACATCTGCCCAAATCAATACAATAACATATATATTATAATATATTAATAATAATAATATATATGATATATATATTCTATAATCTCTTCTGGTGTGCCTATGACCTATGACGTACTGAGGCGCGATCGATACGAGAAGAACATCAAGCTCTACTGGTATGAGGGGAGCGTGAATGGCCGTAAACTGTGCCTTGGTGATGTTTAAATTTTGGATTGCCTATAGTTCATAGGGAAATAACCAATATAATAAGAGTTTTGGCACTGGGAAAAAACAACTTGTTGGCCATGTTCTTCAACCTCCACTGGCCATTTCATTCAAAGAATTATTGTTTTTCAAAAATATAATAGTTTATTAATGGAACTCAGTTTACTTGAGGGATTCCCCACCCCAATCCATTCATGATGCACCTCTTCGGGATATCATGGAGTACCGCCAGTTGAATCTGTGAACCTGGCAGGACATCACCCCAAGCTTTAACGGGAATGGATCATAACGGCATTGCACTTCAAGTGGTTTTACTCTGTAACTATTAAGATCCCTCTGGCTGCCTATCACTAACTGAGGAAAAGGAAACGCGACACTGTGCTTGAAGAGGACTCCGATGTTGAGGAACCAGAGCTCAATAGCGATTTGGAGTTTGATGCTGACTGGGGTTTCAAGGATGTTCCCCTGGGTTCAGGCACTTCTTGTGGAGTATTGGGTCACACATGGGGGCACTGTATATACTGTGCATTGCATGTTATATAATATGATCGATCAATAACAATTGTACAACAATGAAAATCGTTCATATAATGTTATAACAATTGTACAACAATGAAAATCATAATGTTTTAAATTTATGCCATTTATCATACCTGGTGTGCTCTGATGTAATATGTTGAATAAGCATTCGGCCCTGCTAGATGAAGTCGTTGCGTCCGACAAGGCGAACAACCTGATGACTGAATCCCAGGCGTTGAAGCAGATCTCATTTCCAGAAATGGATTCGGATGGGCTTCCTAGTGCCTACATCTCCAAAGTCTTAGTATGCTTAGGCAAGTGGCAAATGAAGATGATGGATTTGGGTTCGGAGTTTGAAGGTTGCAAAAACGAGTCCATGAGGCAGTTCCTAAGTGATGCAAATTCAATATATTTATCCTTTGTCGTAATTTGTAACCCCTGAATGTGTTATATTTTCAACCATCCAAAAGCCAACACTACGCTTGCTGCCTAGTGGTTCATCTGAGGTTGGCATCCAAAGCTGATGCTCGATCGCAGGGTTTGTCGGAGCTGGCTGATGAGCTCACTACGTTGAACAGCAGTGGAATCTGTGATGGTTTCACTGGTCAGTAGCTGGTTTGCAATATCATGATCTAACGTGTGCTTAGGACCTATATAGTGAGATGTGGCATTTGGAACAATAATCTTTAGTGGGTGATACGTTAACTATGTTAACTTGGAGCTATTGCCACCCAGGCAGCAACAACAGCTCCTCAACCTATACGGAAAGTGCAAGAATCAGTGCCTTGGCTGCATGTCTAGTATGATGGGAATTCCAACAATTGAACACGCCTACTATGGATAACATAATTTAAATCATTTGCTATTTGCCATGTGGATTACGCTTTTTACTTATTATATTTATATTATATTTAGATGGCATGTGTCCTGCAACATTCCACCCCAGGTGCCGCGAAGCATTGTGCCTCCAAAGTCGAGCTGTGTAGCTTGGCAGCCGTCGGTTGTCCTGCGCGTGGTGCAGATCTGGGCACAATCCTTGAATCTGTGGGATGTTTTAATGTCAAAGTGGATGGTATTCAATTTGTGAGGGGTCTGGCAATGATGGGGAATCACAAACTCATGTAACTAAAGCTGTACAACGTACTCGCCATCAGAATTCACTATGCTTGGGAACTCCAAGACCAGTGTTTGGTGAGATGCCACTAAAACCCATAGACATAGTTTCTTTGCCAAAATCCTTTTGCTTTTGCATGTCTGTACGGGGCAGTATTAACAATCATAACAACTGTGCCAGCTATATCATGGGTGTGGTACCATTTTATTATTTAAGGTCCCCGAAGATCTTAGCATAACCCGCATGCAAAGACAAAGAGTTTTTCGGGTGTCATGTTGGCAACACTTCAACAACCAGACAGTACCATATTCCACCCCATCTTGCCTATAATAATATATTTTCCCAACCTTACATGGATGTAGAAAAATATGGGTCTTAAAATTGTTGCTCAAATTTTGGGGATTTATCAAGTGGCCAATAATTTGGATTTGAAATTGGTTCCCAACTTCTTTTCTATTAGCCTTCAGGTTTGGTTCCCTTCCCAATATCTCAGCCCCTTGCTCTTTGGTGTGGCTCCACATGCACCGCCCCAGGCCTGTCCTGAAGCACATGAAGGCGAAGAACCAGCCTCGTGTCAAGCAGGAGCCATGTGACAGGTCTAGCCAACCAAGGTCTGGCCAACCCAGGAACAGCTCACAGCCGGCGCAGCCAGTGCGCTAGATGATAACTGATATCATATTATCACATAACACAACAATAATATTGTTTTATAAAAAATATGAGTCTCTTGTCTGATGTGGCACTGGCACCATATCCAACGTGATGCCTGGGGTCGGCCCTGACACAAATGCCAGGGCTTTGAGATTAGGCAGTTTCACGTTTTAGCTTCAGCAAATTAATGGTTCGGTGGCTGATGCTTGATGTTTTTTTCAAAGCATCCTTTTCACAGCCGATGCCAGCAGAAGTCCGAAAGGAAAACTAGCCTTGCAAGATTTGCCTACAGCTTTTTCGAAACCACAGGACAAACATTTGGGGCATGCCCTCACTATCATTTATACCCTCAATCCTGGCCCAGTGAGAATCTTTGCCAGGTTCATCTGAAGCTGGTCCCCTACTTACCCATGCAATCGAAATGGTTGCTGATGGCGTTACCTGGCTAGTAGACATTCAGCAATGAAGGGTTGATGTCAACTTCTTCTTCAACCCTCGCCCGCTGATGAGGCTCCAGCCAAAACAGTCTCGGAGAAGACCGCTGCACTAGCGGCCGAACACGGCAAGACCTTTGCAAAGCAGTCGATGGGTTCTTTCGGCATCAGTGCCAGCAACGTGCCTGGCTTAAAACTATTATCTAATACTGTGTTTTTTTTTGCTGTTTGTAAACATGGTTGGAAATAAATGGAAACAACGAATCCCATCTTGTTGGATATTGAATCTTCAGCAATCTTTTTAATATCATTGCTGATGCTGGGGTGCCACAAGTGAGGCCAAACGCCATCATGATGGGCTGGTGGTCAAATTTGGTTTTTCCCTCAAAGTGCCAATTTCTGATTATGTGCACACAGAGGGGCCAGCTACTGCGACAATTCCTTACTTGAAACCAACTGATGTCCTCAAGTGTCTTCTTGCAGATTACTCATGGTTGCTATTTGGCGGGTGCCAAGAACCAGAGAGTATCAAATGTTTGCTTCAATCCTTTTGGAATTGCTACCAGAAAGAGCATCCCGAACACTTGGTGTTCCAGCACCCAGAGAGACTGAGCCGAACCTTTCCCATTACAATCCATGGAGATGGTGGTAGAACTCAAAAAAAAAATCCATTGGAGGTGTTCTCATTCCAACCAGTTTTGGGATTGAGTACGGCGGCCTCTGAGAAAAGTGCGACCATGACATGCCATTGCGACACCTCAGCTGAGTATGGTGGTGCTGACTTCCGGGATCCTTTTGCACAACGCCTCAACAGCAAGTTTTCAACATATCTGACGCATTTCTTGCTGTTTGCGTTTCCATCAAAGTCTTATGCCACGTTCGACAATATCTTGGTTGGCTTACTGACAACAATTATGGATGATTTGGCCGTGGCTTGCAAAGAGGGGATCATGTCTGGTTGTGGACAACGTTTCTACCCAGCATGTGTTGGTTTCAAACTGGACATGGAGTGGATGGTGAAGGTGGGTTCCTTGGTAAGGAGCTATCAAAACGTCGGGCACGTAAACTACAAAAACTGCTGTCACATGTGTGACGCAGGTGAGCGAGGAATTCCATTTGAGGATGTCAATGAGAACGCAGTATGGACCCGAACCAGATACAACACCATTCCCTGGCAAAACGAGCCACCATGGCGGAACATTCCATTTGACAATACCAAACCTGCTAAATTTCTGAGACGGGATGCTTTCCACATCTTTCGGCAAGGTATTGGCAGAAATTACATTGCTAGCTGTGTTTACCTTCTGATCTACATGGGCTGTTCCTGGCATATGCTTATGGGCAATTGTTTTGGATGTTTATGCTCCGTGTTTTTGGCAGAAAAATGATAGAAATACCTTCAAGTTTGATGGTCTAACGGGGTATGATTTAGGGTTTTCCTCTCTAAGCGGTTCAATTGGATGTAGTTTAAAGGGTTTTCCTCCTTTAGCAACCGACCCAGGCTTCTTGGAGGATTCTGACAATCAAATGCCAACTTGTTTGAAACGGGCCTTTTCGAACCTCAAATTGTATTGCATGGCAAATGGCCTGCAAGTGGCTGGGATCAGGAATTTCACAGTTCAAAATATGCACGCTGCACGGAATGCTTTTCCATGGGTGGGATGCAAGGGGTCTGACACGATCGTGATCCTGAAGTGGCTTTCTTTTTATGGGTCTTTGCAGCTGCAACAGGAAGGCTGGTCTCCGAAAAACCAACAACTCCTACGCTGGATTGTTGCTGGTGCCAAAGGTGGCTTGTCGTTTGGGCAAGGGATCCATGGTCATGGAATCTGGCTTGCTCCCTCATGTGTTTCTCACTTGAAACGGGCAGTGCAAAAATTTGGAAGTGCTTACGCTTACCTCGCTCATCACTGCCTCAAAGAAAACTACAGCCTCTTTGGACAAGTGCCAAAGCTGCACGCTTGGATGCACTACAGAGAAGAATGTAAGGACTCTTTGGATCAGAGGAGAGAATACAAACTCAACCCGGCCGTCTTCGATAACAGTATGAGCGAAGATTTCATAGGGAAGATCTCAAGACAAAGCAGAAGAATATCAGCAAGAAACATGGAGAGGAATGTGCTGAAAGCATATAAAGTGAAAACAAAGATCACAATTCAGCGTTTTTGCAAAAGGTATGGAACGCACAAAGCTTAGAACTTCTGAGGCATTGGCTGATTGAAATCCAGGGCCCCAAAATATCTTAAGAACCAAATGGCTGCACAGCTGTTGTCCATGTCCAATGCCAGCGGCGTTTCTTGTTGTTTCAGCACTTTTAGCGGCAGAAATCACTAGCTACCTTGGCAGCGGCAGAAAAAGTGACAGGTAGGAAGATCTAGGTATATATATTCATATATATATATATATATTCATATATATATATATATTCATATATATATAATATTTTATTTATGATATACATTCTGAATACGATGTCTAAGAGTCTAATATCTCTCTATATAGAATTTTATGTAGGCATGTGTAATACATATTCGAAATATGAGCAAGCATATATTTACTCTGGTCGCTTTGCGACAACCGCCCGCACCTGAAGCGCTTGCTTTGGTGTGGGGATGGAGATAGTTGCAGCGTTGTTTTCAGATTGCTTTTGGAAAGGAATAATTTGAGCCCATATTGAACCATTTGCACCCTTGTTGAGCCGACGTTACGCCTATGTTGGCCCCGATGTTGAACCCATGTTGAGCCGACGTGACCGATGTTGTCGCAATTTTGGACCTATGTTGGACCTATGTTGGCAGCTTTGCCAATTTTATGACACCATGCTGTTGAGTCATGTTGAGTGTCTATCGCCGATGTTGTCGCGATTTTGGGCCCTTCTTGAACCTATGTTGGCAGCTTCCCCATTTTTCTGACCTTTTCAAAAACGGGAAAAATCGCGCGATTCTAGAAAAATTCCCCCTCCAAAGCTAAAGTTACTGTAAATAACTATTGCAATTACTTCCGTATATTGTTTCCGGATCATGTCTGCACACAAAAAACGCTTCGGCACCTTCGGTGCGGGTGGATTAGTGCACATGAGTCGTTCGAAAACCCACATTCTAGAAATTTCGTATGCGGGTTTTGTCACTTTTGGGTATAGCTTAAAACCTGCATCCCGTAGCATGAGGAGCAGGGAGGAAAAGGTGCCCAAGACCGGCCGAAGGGCCATTTTCGGGGAAGAAAAAAGATAAAAAAGGGTACCCTCTGGTAATTTAACATAGCTATTGAAAATGACCATTTATAGTGGATTTTCCCATTAAAAATGGTGATTTTCCATAGTTATGTTAGTTTACCAGAGGGTACAACTCCCACATGTGCAGTCTTCATGTGCAGTTATTTTCTGCTCCAATTCAGATTAAGTTGCACAACGAGGTCGGGGACATCCAACCTCTGGAAAAGACTTCTGCCGCTGCAAATGCTTTGGATACAACATGACAATAAAGATGACATTCGGTAAACTATGTTTAAAAACATGATATGAAACATGATGCGAAGAATGATATGAAACATAATAAAGCAGAAATATGCATGATAAGATACGTTATGAACATATATATATATATATTTGTTTGTTGCGGAGGGCACTATCACTTCGTGCTGGAAGCCACCAAGATCTGGATGATGAAAAACTCGGCGGTAATCCACCATGGTCAATTTACTCTCCCGGCTTCTTGTTTGTAGCATTGACCTACTTAGGGAAAAAAACAAAAACCTTAGTCCTTCAATGTCCTTCATATACTCTAACAATCACCTCCATTTGGAAGCCACCAGATCCAATACGAAGGCCGCATTTCTGGTTTTTGGGGATGCAGTTGGGAAAAATGTTCATGTTCGTATAACCATGGCAATATACCGAACATCATTGTAGCTAGATATTATGTTATATAAATTATATAGATACTCTATACTATAATATATCATAATATATCAATAAATCTATAAGTATACAGAAAAAAGTACTCACTTGGTAAGTGGAACCGTAGAAGCTCACGGAACCGCGAGGTCGTGATCTCTGATCTCGCAGCGGCAGATGCGGAGAACCTTTTCGCCTTGTGTCTTCCCATCAAAGCCGTGAACAAAACACATCAGAATACCCTGGTTGATCGGTGATTTTTTTGGGAGTTATACTGGCCTAATTTATTGGAGATTATGATAACCCATAGGATTGGGAAACTTATCAACCAAGTACAACTCAAAACATGTTGAGGGATTTGTAGCCAAACAAGGGTGAACAAAAAGTCGGCAGACATAGGTTCTTAACCAGCAATGACTATCCGGTGGTATGGAGCTCCTCGCTAAGGAGCGACCGGGTTGTATCCATAGTAGCTGTTAGATTCGTGGGGAGTTTTTCGGAGCTATGAATAGAGCTTCCCAACCACATGATAATATCAGGATTAACCTCACAATTTCCCATTTTTTGGGGGTTAGAGATCTTGTGTTGGTGGTTGGTTCCCCCGTACAAAAGCTTTTCTGTGAATCATCGTACTTTTCTATGGGTTTGTCTGAAAACGGGGTCATAAATAGCTCAAAATTGTAATTTAAATAGGGGACACAATCATGAACCAGTAGATGATGGGGTACTGTACCCTGTTCTCAGTCAAACCCATCGGATCTCAGGGGAAACAGAGGACCAAACCCATCGGATCTTCCCTCTTCAGAGCACTCAAAGATGTTTTTTGCATCCCCCCAAAGATAGTGAGTGTTTGAAATCCTACTGACGGATAGTGTGGTGATTTTTGCGACTTTTCATGACTTAAAAAAAAAATGATGGGTTCTGTATGGTTCGACCCTATACTTTTGCCATACAAAATCCAGTCGTTTTCAGGTATGATTTCGATGGCATCTCTTTGCTGCCTCGCGGAGGTCTCACCGATGCCCAGTCGCAAGAAACTGGAGCGCTGGTCAAACGTTAAACCCGTTACCCTCTGGTGAACTAACATAGCAATGGAAAATCACCATTTTTAATGGGAAAATCCACTATAAATGTGATTTTCCATTGCTATGTTAGTTCACCAGAGGGTAAGGTTTGGAAGATTTCACTGAGTTTGAAACCAAAACCCGAGGTTTCCTAGCGCAGTTTGTCAGGTTTCCCTGGTAAACTGTTAGCGTGGAAACGCACATGCCTGAAGTTTTGATGGCACCTCAAGAAGTTTGCAGCTCTGGTCTCGGTGTGTGCTTGAGGTATGCATATCGACATATGTATAATATATGTATGTTATGTGTATATACATGGATAATTATTTTATTTTACTATATATATAATATAATTATATTATACAAATAATATACACGTATATTATCATTTAAATTTATCTATCATTTATTTACGTGCAAACATTGTAATATGCGTAGCCTGCTTGCGGTCAAGTGCCAAGGAAGTCCTACGAGACATTGGGCTCGAGAAGGCCCGGGGACAGAGTTCTGGTGGAAGAAATTGGTTTTGTCTTGAGATTGGAACTTCATAATATCAGTTTGTAGCAATCACTAGACCATGGTAATTTTTTGATACCCTTTTTGCAGACAACAACAAACTGGTCCCGGCCACAATTTTGAGCCATGAGGACAGAAGAATATGGACCAGATTGACCAGATGGCACAAAGCATGGAATGGATGCAAAACAGCAAGATCAAGATATCTAGAGAATGAATCTCCCCTGGATTGTGGATTTGACAACCAAAAAAACCGGAGATCTTCTAGGAACCATGACGTGGTCTCTGATTCGACTTGGTCACGAAAGGAACTCGGAGCTGACCTTCCAGCTTTCGCACGTGTTGCCTTTGATTCCCATTCCGCAGAAACTTGGACCATGTCCGGCTGAGATGATGATGATGATGATGATGATGACACATAGATGTTAGCTCAATCATATTTTATGGCTGAACTTGTTTGGGCGCATGATTTTGCCGTCCTAATATGGTCCAATAGCCCGGTGGTGAGTCGAAGCCTCTCCCCGATCTGAGGATTCGCATTTCCTCTCGCCCAATGAATTCAAACAGCTCTACTACCGCTTGATGCACCGCTATCCAACTTTACTTCCAAGGTGCCGGTTTTATATGTTTTATTCGCCCGGAAAAACATGAGCCGAAAATGTGCTTCAAACTGATATCAGCTCTTATCAGTCATCCCAATGCCTCTTGGGTACATCGATTTCCCCAAGTGTTGGTACCATTTTGGCCCGATGATTTTCGCGACAGTGGCAGGACCCCAGCCCTGAGGGTGACCGTCTATTCGGCCAAGAATTTGCCGCCTGCAGATGTCAATGGGAAAGCCGATCCCTACTGCACGATGCAGCTGGTAGGAGCGGATTTTGATGGATTTTGGGATGCGAAAGATTCGAATCTTAACCCAGGAGAAACATCCAGTGTACTAATAGATTATAGATAATGAGGATTAATGAGGCTGGGAGCGTTTTTTTCACATTCTGAAGGTAACTCCTCTAATCCACAGAGCTTATGGAGTTGATATTACCTCAGTCGGAGCATGGAAACCATATATTTGGCCAGTCTGGGGGCCAGTCTGGATGCTGGGATTGGAGGAAAGCCGCACATAAAGACAAGGACAAGGCACTTGGAAAAGACCTTGGATCCCAGGCAGGGCTGGCGCTGTTGATCGAAACTACCCAGAGGGTGAGTTTCAAGTGCTGCTTTTTCCATGGGACAGTTTTTTTCGAACGTGGCTGGCATCCCCCTTAATTTTGTAGCCAGTTTGAGTCATTGAAATCATGATTAAATCATGATAAACCCTGAAACTTGAGGGTAGCATGCTTTCAATATGCTTTCAGATCTTTCAGTACCATATTTGAGGCACCATTTGAAATCAGCGCTTTTTTTTATCGCGGATCCAATGCCTCAAGGTGGGGCGAAGAGCTGACTGGATGCTATGTTTACCAGGAGCCGCCGGCTGAATCTGCCTCCAACTTTCGTCTGGCCTTCGAAAAAACACCACGGCCACTTTTTGTAAAGCATGGATTCATATATAAATCTTCACTATGTTCAGAACGATAACATGGTTTCATCACCCATAGGATCCATGTCTGGTATATATGCTAATATGACTGGGGTATATTGATGGGATCCATGTCACCATATATAGCACCATGGATCCGTCATGGGTCATGTCTCATCATGTTTCTTGGAAAAACCACGTGGTCACGTGGGTATAACTTGTCTTTTCCGCATGGGAATCCTTGAGAATTCATGGAGGAGGGCGATGATCTCCACTTTGAGGTGGTCGACTATGACAGGGGGGCCCTGCAGGGTGACCTCATGTGTAGTTGCATCGTGCCCAACAAGGAGCGCGAATCCACAAAGAAGGAGAGTTTCCCAGAAAATGGCAAGATGAAAGAGGAACATGATGACATATGATGACTCGAACTTACTATTGCGCACGGGACGCCATGGATGATGAATTGGGCGTACAATGGCGTACATCACGTTTTTCTTCATCCATTGTTCATCCATTTTTCATCCAATTTTAAGAGAAAGCCATGGATCCCAGGAGTTCCATCGGACCGGAGGCTTTGATGGTGCCTGGCCGATGACCTTGGCTCCAGAGCTGGCCAAGTTGAAGGGCTGCTGGGACTGGTGGGCCAACATGTGGCGAAAAAATGGTCAAAACATGTGGGTAAAACATGGTAAAACTGTGTTTGCCATGGAAAAAACCTGGAAAAACCCCAGGTTTTCACCATTTACCATTCCCACGTGGATGGTTTACGACTGTTTTACCAACATTATTGCTGTATGGTTTAGAACTTTCCACAATACTGAAATATACTGAAATGAAATGGTTTAAGACTTTTTTTTTCCGAATGTCATCAATAATTATCTCCACCGTGATGGTGATTTCATGGTGATTGAATGGATTTTGGAATGTGGCATGAAATTTTCCACAATTCTGAAACCCTTCAAGGAACCACCCGTTTACAAAAAAGGGTCATTTTTCAATTCATTTGTCGATGCTTGACAATATCCCCTTTGGAGGTTGATCATGTTGATCCTCTCCCAGCGGGCACCAGTTGATCTCAGTTGATCTCAGTTGATCTCCTTCGCTGAGGTTACAATCCAACCCTTCGACTTCGTATCCAAGTCACCGCCTTTCCAGAGCCTCCACCACGGATGACCATTCTCGTTCGTGGTGTCCTCAGGATTGAGATTTTTTGACACGTAAATTTGTCGATGATCTTGTCAATTCTTGTCATATATGAGTTTTTCATATTGTTTCAGCTTCATGGGATTAAATGTCTTGGGCCAATAGCATCATACATCATCTATCCCGCCAGGTCATGCTGAAGGTTTGCCTCCTGCAGATGCAAATGGCAAATCTGATCCGTTTTGCTCTCTGCAGCTGGTCGGAAAGCAGTTCTCCAGGCACGCAAAGGGCGTTCCGTAACTTTGTACTTGGATTCCATGTCAGGTCCGTGTACTTGAACAACGGCAATCTTTATAGAATTATATAGTAAATAGATATTACCCATAGGATCCATGTATGCTATATATGGTAACATTTACCACCAATATACCCCAAATGTTAGCATATATACCAGCACCATGGATCCGTCATGGGTTATAAGTTATGTGTGGATTCATCCAGAACTGGGATGTAGCCCAAGATATGTCAATTTTTGATGAGAACTTTTTTTGAAAACACGTGGATTTTGCCTCACAGGTCGACCACAACGATCAAGTCCAGAACGCTTGAGCCGGTCTGGAATGAAACCCTGACAGATAAGCACAGATACGCGCCTTGGCTAAACATGTTGCTTGAGATGAGTATCATTGATTTGTTTGAAGAATTAAACTCTATTCTGTCTTTCATATATTTTCTAACATATGACTATATATAGTGTAATATCTATTTGGTCGTCCGTTGGTCATTCCGAAAATAAACAAGAACCACATGTTTTTTCAGCATCCATCCGTGCTTTCGTGACAGGAAGCTGGAGATAGCCTTTCCATCAAGATCTGGGACTACGACAAAGCAGCGAACAATGACCTGCTTGCCGAGGGCATTCTGGATGGCAGCCACTTCCACAAGCCAGGCGATGGCAACGGCCATGGCCATGTGGCCATGTGGCCGTGCCCACAATTCCTAGGTTTGGAGAGGTTTTTTGGGAAGCTTTGGAGGAAGCAAATGGGAGCATACCATAGGACCATAGTATATATCTTACCATAATATCTTCCAGTTTTTGCAGAGATCTTCAAGCCCCCAGGTGGCTTCGATGGGGAGTTCAATCTGCAGAGCTGCGAGCCAAAGTATTCACCCGTGATCAGCATCAAAGTCCTGGTTCGCGAGGTGGAGGAGGCCCAAGAATTTCTCCAAAAACTGGAGAGAAAGAAGAGCCCTTAATAGTGGATAATAGTTGTTAATATACTGATAAAATCATGGGAATACAGTGGTTATCATGGGAATACAATGGTTAGTTTACTGATAGTTATGGTTATCATCCTGGTTTAAAACTTTCCATTGTTGGACTATTTGGATTTGGATTCCCATGTTTGCCTCAGGACATCCCTACTATCCTGAGATCTGAAGTTCTCGAGGGGGTTTCTACAATGTTTACCCTCTGGTAATTTGTAACAGAGCTATTGAAAATGACCAGTTATAGTGGATTTTCCCATGAAAAATGGTGGATCTTTCCAGTTCGCTATGTAACAAATTACCAGAGGGTAATGAGTTTAATGTTTGGTTGTTGGATCCTCATTGTTGCAATCTTCTTCCTGAACTGAAAGTCCCAGTTAACTTGGTGACAAGTTAACCAACGGTTGCAGGATAATCATCTCTATCACTAGTAGATCCCAAGTGTTTGCCCTACCATGAAAATAGCATAAAAAACACCATATATATATATATTATATCTATTTCTGTAAGTATTTCTACAAGTAGATTCCCCAATATCCCAGGCGGCAGCCGCAGTGGCCTCTGCCACAGCCTCTGTGGCTTCGGCCGAAGAGCTGGTGGAGGAGGCAGAGGCTGCCTAGGCCGTTGGGCGGCATGGATTTTCTGTGGATTTGAAGTGATCTTTTGATGTTGAGATTTGTATTTTTGATTTTTGGATGATTTATAACTTTTCCGAATTTTGATTATTCGAATGATTTTCTGAATGATTCACAATAATATATATATATACGTATATATATTATATATATATGGGAGAGTTGAGCTCTTTGAAATATGGTGGGATATCATTGTGAACGGGGAGATACAGCTTGTATGATGAAGCATTGGGGGATTTGATTGGGAAGAATTTGGATTTTGTCGGGTTTCATGAGGATTTAGTGGGATTCATCGAGTGGGTCTGTGTGAAAAGCTTGGGAAAATTATGGAAGAAACTATGACGAAACTATTGAGAAAGCACAAACCTCACGGTTTCGCATAGCAGTTTTTGGCACAGAACCAATTGAACAGCCAAGCACAAGGAACTGCACAGGTAGGCCATGCAGTCCCAGCCGTGCGCCTTCAAGAGCTGCAATGGCAGCAGTCCAAAGCTTTCTGATGTCGAGAAGCCTCCGACGTGTCACAGGAATTGTCTTTACTCAACAAAGACAGAATCCAACGACATCTAAATCATTCTAAGTCCAAATCCTAGAATTTCCCGACAGAAAGTGACATGCTCTGGAAAGTGAATCTTACGAGGTGCGTTCCAATGTTCCAAGAACTAGCAGGCCAAACTGCAAACAGTTTCATCAACATTCCTGTTGCCCAAAGACAACTAATCACATGGTCCGCCTGCTGGCATTACATGGCTTTGGGCAAAATGCTGAGCTCTTTGTGCAGAAGCGGGCGAAGGACCAAAGCAGCTCATTCCGAGAAATTGGATGAAGGGAACATGCACGAAACTCCAATTCTTTTCTGAAAACAGAGAAGGGTCCCCTGATGTTCCTTGTAAACAGTCCAATGATTCATTCTTTTCAGTTTCATGATGGTAGGATGCCTTAAAGGCTTTAATGTGATACTGTAATGGCAGTTTTCAAGAATCTTCCATGTTTGGGCTCAGAGTTCATGACGCCACACTTGAGGTGTTTGTTGATGTTGATGTCCAGCAGAATTTCAGCAGCCAGAGTTGGCACATGTTGATAGAAAAAACCATGATAAACTATCTGATAAACCATGTTCATTTGGGTATGGATCAATACCTGTTAATACCATTTTTAGTGGGATGAACATCCATTTACCAGCTATTTTGATGTTCACCAGGGGTACAAGGTTTTGACACACTGCCATTTTGAATCATTATGGCTCATTTTCATGGGCTCAAAAAATCATGTTGATTCCCATTCTTGGTCATTTTCCAAGGTCCCCCTTTCTGAATTGCCCGGAACATGCCCGCTCCAGGAGCTCCTGCGGAAGCTGAAGTCCGTGGCTTCAGTGGTGGCCATTGATGCTCCCCATAGGCTTCCCTATGACCCGTCCTTGCGGGGTTGGTGCCAAGGCTAAAGTCGGGCACGTTATGATCTGGGTGACCCAACGGTTGTGACACCTTAATTATGAGCCTGGTTGGTGGGATATCATGAGGATATCATGGGTCTAGATGGTGAATATTACTGTAATACTTAATACATATAATTAATTATAATAATATAATATATATATATATCTTCATAGATACTCGATGGTTTAATGAGTTTAATGGCCTTCAATTGTTTAATTGACAGGCTTCGCACACTGGCGAAGCTGCCCAAATCCAGACCCACAGGTTGGGACCCCGCTTAATCAAAAGAATTTCTACGTGACGGCTTCCAGCATTGGAAAACAACATTGCCACTTGCGGTGTTTTAAACAGTTGCATTCAAAAACCACTGTAAATATAGTAATACCATACCGACCGTGCCATTTTTTTGCATTGTTTTGCACTCAGAGGGGCGACAAATGCTGTTATTTACGGTGCCGCATAAAACAGTGTCATTGCCAAGACATCCAATACCGTAGATTGGACCTTCAAACCAGCATATAGTACCCTCTGGTAATTTAACATAGCTATTGAAAATGACCAGTTATAGTGGATTTTCCATTAAAAATGGTGATTTTCCATAGCTATGTTAAATTACCAGAGGGTAGTTTAATTTCTCGTGTTTTTCGGCTTCCTTGTGAAAAAGATGTTTTCGGCGTTCCTTCAAAAAAACTCTGCTTTTCACCCGCTCCCTTCTGCCCGGACGGCGACGGCAAGCTGTGGCCACACGGATGGCTTATCTATGATACCATATTTCTGGAAGATGAAGCTCCATTCGTCAGTTTTTTTTGCCAGCCAGTTGGCCTTGACGAAAGCTTGGCAATGGTTATGAACGAATCTTGTCTGAGACAATCTGGATATATCTTAAACATATTGACAAATTGACAAATCTAGACATCCTTTTCCAGACGGTATGTTTCCCAAACTTTCGAGAGTTTAGCTGAAAAGGCACCTTCGGTTGGGGTATCCTGGGTATCCCTTGCTTTTGGGCGTTCAGGAATGGTCCAAAGGCGGCTATGACGCAATCTTGGGATTCTCACAGGGTGCCATTCTGGCAGCAGCACTTTGCACCCGACTGCTGGAGAAAGGGCAACCACCACGTTTTGCGATTTTCCTTTCTGGCTTTGGCAAACCGAAGCCTGCAGGTGGGTTTCTAAATTACTAATTAGTACGTTCAAATACTTTTACCATACGTATGTTCAATTGAAACTTATTGTAAAATGTTTGTTGACACCCAAACTTCCGAAGCCTACAATTTACTTTCTGTTGCTCAGAAAATGGTGTCAATTTACACGTCCAGACTTGTCGCGAGGTTTTACATTTCCTGAGAGCCCAATGCCTATACCGAGTCTGCACATGTGGGGAGATGCTGATGAACACATACCCTCATGGACCAGCAAAGTGCTTGCTGAACGTTTTGACAATCCACAAGTCCATGCCCATGCAGGATCCTTGCTGCCGTCAAACTAGAAGTAGAGAGAGTGCCTTGTCTGTCTTGTGTAAATATCGATAATATAGAGTCTAGAAATCTTTCTGAGTGCAAATCCAAAGTTTTGTGGACAATGTCTGTTTTCACGTGCAAAAGACTCCCAAAACTGTCTCTGTGAGGACATCACATCGTTCCCCAGAAGGCGGCAGATGTGAACATCATTCTCAGCTTCATTGAGATGATCGGCCAACCCAAAGCGACATCCAATGGCATCACCAAAACAGGTCGGTGCATTAACAATGGCATCGACCATGGTTTTTGCAGTGGCTCAACCATTTGAACATGCTTTGATACAGCGGCCAAAAAAAAATTGGCCCCCAAAATTGGTCAGTTGATGATCTTGATGATCTTCCCCAACGAAATGATGATATTTGGTGATATTTGGTGATACAGCCGTTTACAAAGCCACAGTATCGACAGGTGGCCCCGCGTCGCCTGGTTACCCAGGGATCCCCTGTGATGAGCTCGTCGTCGCGTTGCGCCGCTACTCTGCGCCGCGGCAGACGGCCTATGCGATGGAGGAGTTGGAGCATCCGGGGACCGGAACGTATGAGAGGCAGCAAGAGTCATGGGGGTTTCATAGTCATGGATCCCCAACAGCTAGATGCTAAAAATGACAGAAAATCCCATCTATAAACGGATGATCTCTGGGGGTAGCCCTATTTCAGGAAACCCAGGATTCAAACAGGAATGACTATTGGAAATAGCAGGGAAGACTTGGCCGGATTTTGCAGCACTTTCCACCAACATGTTTGTTCCCAAGATTGTGATTGTTGCCAGCAAAATGGAGATTGAACCAACAAACGTTGCGATTTTCCAACACGAAGTGACAGGGGTCAGAGACATGGTCCTGCTGCTCAACTTGTAGTTGGATGTAGGTAGCACTACTGTGAACCACAATACAATAATCAACAAAAAAATACAAAAGTCATTCACCAGTATGTTTTAGTAAGATTTTGCCAATGTCTACTATGCTTTGGGTTCATATTGCATCTCTTATGTTCTTTTGCACATTAACGGAAGTCCTAACAACGCAGGCTGGTGGCTTTGCTTCTGGGCAAAGACTATGCATCAATGAGCCACGGAGCCTGTCGAACCTCCGAGGATGCCGTCAGAGTGAGACTTGCAGGTGGCTGGCAGGAGCTTCAATGGTGGCAGAATGTAGCAGATGTTGTAATATTATTGATTATATAATGTTATATAATATATAATTAATGAACAAAAAAGCTGTGTCTTTTTTAACGTGTGCAGATTTTAGTAAAGGCAGGATGTTCGAGTTGTGCGAATCATACCCCCGAATCATACCCCGAATCATACCCCCGAATCATACCCCCGAATCATACCCCGAATCGTACCCCCAAAAATCACCATTATGAATGTTTCTTTTGGAATCGTTTGGGATTGCATTGGCCTCACTAGTTTTAATGGACCTGACAAGCTAATTGACCGGTGTTGGCCAGATCCGATGATCCCTGGCTACCTTCACATACCTTCACGACATGAGTGGTGAATCTTCTCCACGCGCACGGAGTCTCATCATTATCCCTAAGCTGGCTGGCTCTGGGTGGCTGGCTGGCTGGCTAGGTGGCTGGCTAGTGGCTAGGTGGCTAGGTGGCTATGGCAGTTGCTGCTGCTGGTCGTGTGGCTGGCTATAGGGCTGGCTAGTTGCGGCAGGCTGGTTGCGTGGCTGGCTGCTTGCTGTGTTGTCTGATGAGGCTGATGAGGCTGATGAGGCTGATGAGGATGACTCCGGCTGTGGCTGGCTGGCTGGCTAGCTAGCTGGCTGGCTGGCAACCAAAACCAAAAATCCGTCGAAGAGGAACGTTAGCCTAAGCGTAGCTGAGCTAAAGGTACATGAGAAGAACATCCAGAAGAGACGGCGGCAGGCCGGCGGATATAAATCATAGATGTGCATTTAGATCTTCATATTCTTCATATCCAGGTCCTGTCCAAGGTCGTCTGGCAGGTCGAGCCATTGCAGCCATTAAGTAGCAATCGTGGTAGGTTGACGGTGGGAAAAAGAGACCGAAGCAACAAAGCTTCCTGAATTCAAAAAAAATGGGTTTCCGAATCATACCCCGAATCATGCCCGAATCATACCTCAAACTTCCCAATTCTGAACCTCGGTACATTTGCAAGATCAGAACTTGTGTTTTGTGAGCATAATTTTTCTTGGCAACCATTCGCCACGGGCTACGCTACGCCTCCTGCTGCTTCTGAGAAAATCCGACAACAGCACCCTGCAGCGGCATCCTGCAATGGCACCAACATGCCAACTCCAAAGCGCACACACACCACTTTAACTGCAGCACCTTGAAGCAGCACCCTTCACTAGCACCCTTGCAGCACGAGTTGGGTACAGTACGTACCCTCCTTGCAGCACCCTCAAGCATCACCCAGCACCAGCAGGCTAGCTCGACAGCACCCTCAAGCAGCACCTTCCACCGGCATCCGCTCACCAGCATGCCCGCTCCAAAGCATGGTTTAAAGATGTGTAAAGCACGCACACCACTCTGACAGCAGCACCTTCAAACATCACCCTCAGGCAGCGCCTGCAGCAGCACCCTGAGCGCCACCAGCATCGCTCCAAACTGTACACACCACTCTGACAGCAAGCAACACCCTGCGCCAGCACCTCGCAGCAGCACTCCAACGGACTCCAACGGCACCACCATGCCCGCTCCAAAGCGCACACACCACTCCGACAGCAGCACGCACAGCGGCAACAGCATGCCAGCTCCAAAGCGCTCCACGTTTGGTAAAATTACCAACATTTGAAACATTTTGGGGGTAAGTATGGGTAAATAACCATACGTGGAGGATGCAGGGAAACACTAAATCAAGGTCCGCGAATTATACCCACGAATCATACCCCCTAGACAAACATCCCGGACTGCATGCGGCATTTTGAGACATACCCATATATATATATATATATTATACACATTATATTGTGTCTCATACTAGGATCAAAATAATAATTATTTTGTATACAATTCTACACTCTACAATATATATCATTATATATACAGTATATTCATTGTTTTCATAATTATACCCTTTGAAGATCTTTCATCGCCACTTCCACAAACGGACTCATCGCCAGGATGTGACTCTCCACAGCGGCGCCAAGGCGATGTTGCTGCGGACGCCCACGGCCCAGTGGCTCCTGGCCGTGCTGCCGGCGGATGCCAAGCTGAGTTGGAAGAAGCTGCGTGCCATGCACGGCAAGGGCACACGGATCGCCACCGAGGAGGCCGCTGGGAGATGCTGGGAGATGCTGGGAGTTTTGGGGTTCCGAAGTCGATCCCAATAGCATCAATAGCTGAATGGTTTATGGATTGTTGATGGATGGTTAATGGAAAATCCCATCGAAATGGATGATTTGGAGGTACCATGACCTAGGAAACCTTCTTAAATGGTGAACCTTGGGATGCAAAAATTCGGAGGGGACAATGATGATCAACGGCCATTTTTCCAGGATCGTCACATTTTCCAAAACCATGGCCACCAGAGGAGGTGGTTGAAGTCACCGGATGCTTACCTGGTGCAGTGCCACCCATGGCTGCGGCATTTCCCCGTCAGGCATGGGGTGCGTTGGATGTTTTTTGGAACGCACAAGTGACACATTTGGGTTTGTCTGAAAATGGGTGATACCCCCGAAATCGCCATTTTTATGGAACAATGAAAATAATCCAATTGATCAGCTATTTTTATAGGCTCATCAGCGTCCAATGATATTCTGTCAGGCTGCTGTCGTAGCAGATGTCACTTTGCCAGAGGTACCTTAGCCCGCAGTCAAGTTTTTGTTACTTTTGCTTGTTTGGGGCGCTACAAAGGCAACTTCAATTGTGGAGGTTTGATGCCAACTTTCCATGTTTTTTTCTGTTCAGCAGAGGCATAGACTAACAGATATATCCACCTACCGTTGCCGCCCAAAGAGAGCCAAGGTGATCAACTTCAATTGTGGCTTGCGGACCCGGTCCATCCAGATGAAAAGACACTGCTATGAGTCGGTGCAGCCTGCAACCTTTGCTGACATCATCGAGTGACTTTCAGCAGCCCAGCGCTGAGCTGATACGCGATTGCGTAGAGGAGGGCAAGTGCTGATGGAAAAAAGCGTGGCGAAAAATATGCCGAAACACCAATTTTATTCTGAAAGATTCAGGGTAGCAATATCTGAAAAACGCACATACTGTATGAATGATAATGTATGTACCAGTATGTGTCATGTCCAATGCTCAAGGGATAAAATACTGGCTTCCCAAGCTGCTCCACTGAACGCTCGATGATGCAGAGGATACCTGTTGTTGTTGATGATGTGATGGTGATGATGATGATGATGATGGTGATGGTGATGATGGTGGTGGTGGTGGTGCTCGTGCAGGTGCGTGTCAGGTGCGTGTCAGTGCGTGTCAGGTGCATGCAGAGCACACAAACATATGTGCAGACGTCATTATATACACAGACACGTGATGACACGTGCAATTACTGTACATATACATATACACTATAAGATAGTTATTCTACACACATTTTTAACGACATTTTGTGTTTGAAATTGTGGGCCCGCAAATCTGGAGGTGCTTTTCGAACCGCGAATCTGACAAATCTCACCCGGCGTTTGAGCCGAGCAACGAGTCAATGCTGGCATTCGCTTAGTCCAAGACGGACTAGGCCAGAGGTCCAACCTGACTTGTAGACTATCAGTTCGTGTTTTCATTGAATTTGAGCCAACTTGTCTTCTTGAGCCAAGCCAAGATTTAATTTCCTCGCTTCCAGTCTTCCAGTCCCCGGATGTCTGTGTGCAGATTCAAAGCCACGGATCGTGGTTTGTGCAATAAATGTGTCACACTGCAGTCTGGAAGAGCACCAAGCTGAAGCCAGTGAAAGATCCTGAAAGGCCGCTGCTTCCAGACTGCCGCAACGTTGAGAACGTGGTCATTTCGCGAGTCAAAAGGTATTGAAAAAGGGGCTTCCCGACATTTCCGACTCATGTCCCGATTCTGCCAGAAGAAGATCTCGGGAAATTGCCTTGACATAGTGATAGTGTGCTGTCACCCCTCGGCACCGATAGCTGAATCTTAAGATCATCAAGTCAGCAAGACTGCGGAAACAACATAACAACATCACAACCACAGATAACATATCAATCTACGTTGATGGAACTAAAAGTTTTTTTTGTCAAAAAACAACTCTGTAGAGTAGAGACAGAAGATCACAGAAGGATGTTTTTTGTAATGTTTTGCAATGGGCAAAAAAGGAAGCACCATTTAAGCAGAGCCTACCGGTTTATCTCCAGCCATGGTCAAATCCTCATAGCTTTCCCATGTCTCGATGCGCCGGAACGAGCAGAGTGAGCGCATTGTGTACAGGACGAGAACTTGAAGAAATGTGCTGAAATTACGCTGTTGAGTCTGTTGAGATATAGCTTTGGTACATTTTGGTACCTGATAATGATGAAGAAAAACGAAAAACCATAACTGGTCCATGATCACTTTCCCTACTCAACTGGTAATCTTGGGGGAAAGGTATACCCCAGTTGCAGGCACGCCAATGTTGAGATGTGATGACGCAGATGTAAAGACTACCTGTCAGTTGTAGCAGTTGACGTCAAAGGTAAGATTCTGTGCAGGACTGACTTTGACAAGACGCTCGACTTGAGTTCCAAGACATTTTTTCATTGCATTTCACAAACTTGTGTTTTTGATGCCGCCCGAATCAAGCTTTTTTAACATGGCCCACAAACACAATGCGGGCCCAGGTATGTCTTGTGGAGAGCTCAGGATCCAGGAGATATGTAGGTCAGCTTGTTGCGAGGCTGACAAGTCGTGCCATCTTTACCCTCTGGTAAACATGCAAAACACTATGGAAAATCACCAGTTTTAATGGTAAATCAGCTATTTCTATGGGCCATTTTCCATAGCGAACTGTTAGTTTACCAGAGGGTAATATGAAGTGCATCTGTGGAAGCGACTGCCGCAACTGTCTTGAACAGCAAGTCGCTACTTGATGGAGCGTTGATAAACACCTATACAGGAGTTGTTTAGGAGTTCTTTAGTATCCTGACTAATTACAGAACTTCCTCAAATTCACTGACATTATTCTATATCATTATCCACCTATATCAATAGTAGTTACTACCTATAGGATTATCCACCTATATACTTCCTATATCCACCTATATTGGTAGTAGTAGTAGGTAGTAGGTATTATCATTATACACCTATATCAAAAACCTATATTATTCCACCTATATCCACCAGTATTTGACGACCAAGTCATGTCAACAAACTGCTGCAATGACGCCCATCACCTGCGGCGTGGCTCCGATGCAGGACCGCCGTTTCTGCAACATGTCGAGCCTGAGATTCCCATATGCGAAGCATGGTGCTGGAATATGAATCCCAACATTTGCCCCATGTTCATGACCCAGTCTTGTAGGTAAATATACCAGCACCATGGAGCATATGGGATTTGTTAAAAAAATGCATTTCAACATGTTCAACGGAATTCTTTGCAACTCATAGCCATTGCCAATATCGCATTGTGCCGTGTGCACTGCAACCTGCATCCCGCGAGCATTACAATTCAATTCTATAGCATCGCCTCCTACATTGGTGGCACGTCGCCAGGAACCTTGACAGCATTTCAACGCAAATGTCGGGGTTTCCTGGGGAATCCCCCATAGCTGGATGGTTTATTTCATGGAAAATCCCATTCAAATGGATGATTGAAGGGGTACCTTCATTTTAGTAGATGGCAACATTTGCAGGAAACCGTTGTTTTTTTTTGGGGAGAAAATCATGCGGTGAATTTGCGCACGAATCCATTGAGTCAATGGTCGTGTTCTCAACATTTCCTGCTGATCCTGTCCTGCGTCAACGACTGAGGAGAGGTATGAGCATTGAAGTGACGCTCAAATTGTGGCTTGGTTTCAGTCTAGAATCTATATATATAGTTGAGGTTCGTTGTTCTTCAAAATACTGATATGTACGACAATTGATGGCAATTGCATGTCATATAATGTTATATATATATATACGGTAATTATATAATTATAATCATAGGTGATCTCATGATGCATCTATACATCTTGAATATCAACTCTGTATTGATATTCAAATATATTCAAATCACAGAAATGAAGCCCCAAGAAGTTGCAATCCGGTGAAAGATCCGGAGGCAGAACCGGAACATGTTGATTGTTTTGCCGAGTGAATCTGCAGGCTCAGCGGCGAAAAGTTTCAGGCAAGAGGGGTTCATCTTGATAGAAAAGAAGGGTTGATGAACCACCATGAACTGTTGCCATCAGCACAAGTTGCAGACTTTCAGCTTGACTCCACTTGTTTCATCACTGAATAAAAGCGAACAGTGATAAAGAATATCACAGTGAGATACTGGCTATGGCTCAAGATTCATTCAAAATCTCCGAAATGGATAGTTTCAGACACAGAAAGCATTTCCGAGCATCTTCGTTTGAGTATTTAAACCCATGGTGACTTTGGGATCTATCATTTTCGGACCCCCCATCCATGTATGTATATAATTTTATTATGTAATATATACAATATCATATATCCATCATATATACCTGATATATACATCATATATATATACACATCATATGTATATATATATATAATGTATTTGGATCAGCATTTTTTGGGAGGTCAAGGCGAACCCCGAAGAGAAGATCTCAGACCTGAAGGCCAAGGTCAGCGAGGCCGCGACGAAGGGATCCGCGGTCGAAACGCTTCGTGCCGCTGCGGGACCAGGGGGCCGGATAACCCTATTGAAAACCAGTGAAAAACATTCAAAACCATGGAAAACCATGGAAGACCTAAGTTTTTTCGGTAGGGTAGATCTTTGCAGAATCTGTCTTTGATATTTTTGGAACCCATATTAGATACTTTACCATCACGAAAACCCATAGATACAACCTAAACAATACCGGAATACCACCAACGTACTAGCTGTATCTACGTACCTGTACGTACTACCGAAGTACTACCTATGGTACTACCAATTAATATGTGCCCCCCCCCACCCAGCAGACACCCTGAATACACCCCACATACACCGTTTACTATTGAAATTAGATGCATACATCTCATATACTAGCTACTTTCAGCATACAATATACTTCCTGTGTACGGCCCGCCTACTGCCTATTTTAAGGCCTCGGTCATGAACTCATTGAAGAATGTAATCAGTGATAATTCGTTCCTGTGCTATTTGGAATTCTTTGAGACACGTGAAAGTGAAAAAAATAGGCATCCACAATTTTTTGGTGCATACTTGCCAGTAGCTACAGTAGTATCTTACCAACAATGGATAAGATTATATGTATTCACTCTTCAGATTTTGCGAACAAGGATCAGGTGATAGTGTGTTGGCTATTATGTTCCGTCGGGTTTTCCACACGGTGGTCAGTGAGACGGATCTGACTGGAGCTGTGTGCACCTGTACAGCATGGATTATTTTCCTAGTGGCACTTATGGTGACTGTTATGGTCTTTTCAGTAATTTCGAAAAAGGATGAAAAAAGAAGCATTCAACAAAATCAATATTTTTTTCACATTGACTGCTAAAAGAAAAGATAAATACCTTCTTACAACAGACAAGAATCATTTTTGGCATCTTTTCTTTTGGGACGGGTTCCAGGACTGAACCATAACATATCTTGACTTCATTGACATCTGAGTTGCCAGAGATGCTATGCCAAGAAACTTCCCTTGTAAAGGCTTTTCCAGGGATAATCATCCCTTCTCGTTCAAACAAAACCTTGGTTCAGTATTGGATCTATTCATAGGGGTCCATATGATGTTGTATGCTCTGTTTAAATGGGTAGATCCACCATAAATGGTCATTTTCAATAGCTATGTTAGTCATTACCAGAGGGTATTTCATATTGGGGAATGGTTTTAGAGAACATTTCTACCACAGATACCTTCGCACCACCACGGCAGGCCCGGCCGGAGCTTCCAGTGGAATGCCGGAAACCCGGACGAAAAACGCCGCGCATGCGACCATTCGTGGTTTCATCATGGCTAGAAAAACCACGAACATCAACCATTTTGCGTAGGTTTTCACTGGTGATGTTCCTACTGCAAAGCAAGGATTTCCAGGATTTCCAGGATTTCCAGGATTTCCAGGATTTCCGTTGTGTGTTTGCCAGGGAAAGATACGTGGGCCTTCATGTCAGCTGGTCATGCATAATATATGGTTGTTGGATGAGCAAATTGGATCGAAACTGTCGACCATGCTTTTCAGCAGCTTTAGTCTCAGACATTGCAGTGCTACTATGGGAAACCCAAGGATAGACCATTCCATTCTTGAAGGTTTATACCATCCATTTCTTGTGAAGTCTGGTATGGTTGATTGTTGGGTTTACCACATTACTCAAATCTCAGTCCAGCCAACCGGGTGAAAGTGATGAAATTGCTCTTGCAAGGCGGCTGTGACAAGAAACTCATACCACTCCTGTACTCGACAAATACATCAAACCAAAACAAAGCAGCGTGTTTGGTACGAAGAATTCAAGGCATCTTCGTATCCCAGCTGATGCGTCAAAAGCATTCTACATCTCTACATCAACTTCAACTCAAACACTGATCTTGGCCTGCGCTATGCACATGCTTTGAATGTTGGCTGATTAACCAATGAACCTTGGATGCAGAATCAGGAGCAGATTAAGCAAGTCATAGAGGAACAAGTTGGCCGCGGACACTCACCACATTCAGAAATTAAGAACATGTTGTGTGAATGGAAGATGATATAAGCTGTATACTGTGTCCTGGATGTTTTCATATTCCCTTCTTTTCTCCAAGCCAATGAATTGACGCTGGTTTGAACCCGAACAGAGGATCATCGTTGATATTGATTCCTGTCATCTCCCCGGTCTTTTCTTGGTAATATACAGTGTGTATATATATATAATTATATATATATATATTACATATATTGCTATATGTTTAGATAGGTCTACAATATTCCACAGTATCCCACAATAAGCTCGCGTCTACACGGTGTCATTTGATGACAGCAATTCTGCGGTTGCACCTTAACATTTTGATCCATTTTTAAGGCCCCCTTCTCCAGTTTTCCGGTTGGTTTATAAAGCCATTGTGAACCTTAGTCAACCACGGCAAATCCCAGTTCGCCTAGTTATATCATCCAATTTACATCAATTTACTGTATCATTGGAGGCCCCAAAAAACTGTGACGCCACCGAAAAAAAACTCCCAGGCACGGGCGGGATCGCAGTCGATCCCGAGACCCCAACGGACTGCCGAGCCCAGTTTCGCTACCTCTGCAGCCACTGCAGCCAGCACCTCCCAGTGGCTTGGGGAAACCTGGAGGGGACACCGGGCTCGCTTGGGCTATCTTGGATGAACCCTAAAATGTGGGTTGAACTAACAAGAGGGAGGGAGTTCACCATCAACATTATGGAAAAAAACATCTTGGTGAAGAGTAGCTTAATGATGTTTCGAGGTGCTTAGTGGTGTCATTATTTGTCATGACTGGGTTAGTGGGGATAATATATATATATACACAGTGTATACACATTATTAATATTGATTAATTATATGAGCATAGACATAGATATAATGCGTGGCTTGACTTGAAGTAATTACCTTCTTGTTGGCTTTCCATCATAAGCCATGCAAACAGATGTGTCATTTTCTGTCGGTGTTCCACTGTATTTAGAGATGCTGGGGGGGTTGTGGAGTGACATCTCATGACATCTCATGGCTACATAGACTGCCTACAGCATAACTATGCATAACTTGTATAACATTCGAACTGCTACCCTCTGGTAAACGTTTACATAACTATGGAAAATCACCATTTTTAATAGGTAAATCAACTATCAATAGGCCATTTTCTATGTCGCGAACTGTTAGTTTACCAGAGGCTAATGTCCTACAGGTCCTACATATCGACTGTATGTCCTACAGCATAACTTCCTTCAGCGCTTTTGAACTCGGACGATCGCCACGTCGTCAGGCAATGTCCCAGACTGGGTGGCAGATCTTTTTCCCACCCCAGGCCCGGCCTGGCGATGGCAGCCCTCCTTGGTAGCTCATTGCTACCTAGGATGATGATGACATGATACCCTCTGGTAATTTAACAAAAAGCTATTGAAAATGGCCTATTGATAGTGGATTTACCCATTAAGAATGGTGATTTTCCATAGTTATGTTAAATTACCAGAGGGTATTTGATGTTTGATATTGATATAATATTACATACTAATATACCTATCATTTTACGTCCGATCTTTCTACGACTTTTTTTTATCCGCATCTTGACTTAACTGCAACTGCATGGCCATGTGGCGAATGTACCGGACATCGCCGGACAATGGTTCTCATGGGCCAGATCTTCTGCTGTTACTGTACCAAATATGGCTATGGATCAATACCTATACATACCATTTTTAGGGGGATGAACATCCATTTACCAGCTATTTTGATGTTCACCAGGGGTACAGGGTTTTGACCCATCCCCATATTGTGATCTCCTCTGGTTTTCATTTCTCATTTATGGCTTTGTCTGGACATATTGGAAATATTTGGAAATGGTGTTTTTTTTCCAGAATAGCAATTACAGAGGAAACATGTGATAAACATGTGATAAACTATGGAATTCTGGGGTAGCCTATTTTAAATAGCAGACCCTGCTCCTTCGTCTGATGCAGGCTATTTTGGCAGCACGTTGTTAGAGGCAGCCAAGCCGTTAGAGGCAGCCATCATCCCGACTCACAGAGCTTCACTTGGCATTGAGATCATGACTAACATAGCTATTGAAAATGGTGATTTATAGTGGATTTACCATGATTTACAAATCAAAAATGCTGATTTATAGCTCCTCAGTTGATCGAATGAGAGAAATCAATGAAATCAACATACCATCATTAATCCCATCAGGCCGTCATTTCCAGTACTGCTTCATTTCTTCAACTTCAAAAAATCCATGATATGAGATTTCTTGGAGACGCCTTGATGTGCTTCGGGAATCCAGTCTTTCTGGCCAGGGTCCAGGACGTTTATTTCTACGCGCCACTCACCACTTCTCTAAAAAATGACTTTTCACAGCCCAAAATCTTGATGATATGATCATTGTTATCGTCGGCAGCCCCTAAAATCATCATTGTTATCGTCATTATTATCCTCTGGTAATTTACCCTAACTATTGGAAATCACCATTTTTTATGGGTAAATCCACTATAAATGGCCATTTTCAATAGTTATGTTAGTTTACCAGAGGGTATCATCAATTTCCTGCTTCCATCGACAGTGAAGATTTTCACCACGCGAACAGAATTTGGGATGTCGTGGCCAGCCTGGCCAGCCTGGCCAGGTGCCACAATCGCTGGTGCCCATTCTGACGGATGCCCTGGTGAAGCAGATCTCCGAGGAATCCGCTGCAAGTATCACTCTTCGTCAAGACACCAGGCTCGGCAGGTGACCCTTTTCGAGATTTTGATGCTGGTTGATTTTTGCATATATTGGGCATGTCATCATCCCAACTGACGAACTCATATTTTTCAGAGGGGTAGGTCAACCACCAACCAGGTCCTCAAATAGTCCTCCGGTCTCCTGTTGAAGGCTCCATGGCTCACACCGCAGTTCTTTTGGCTCGGATACAGGATCTTTCATGACTGGCTGCGCACCGATATGAGTGAAACATAGTGAAACGACTGAAACGAGTTTGAGAAAGTCAATCCAAAGCGATGTTTGCCTCTGATTTTCCGGCTTCAAACTTGATCAAACTTGATCAGTCACCTGATGTCACCTGTCACCGAAACCAACCGATTTTTGGAAACCTGGCAGGAACTTGGGCTACAGCCTGGTCCTATTTTCTGGAAGCCCTGAGGCCAATGCCATGATGAGTCATGATGCCATGCCATGCCATGGCGCCATGGTGCCCAAAATTTAAGGAGATTCCCATCATTTACCATATTCATCCAACATGTTCCCCAAAACATTTCATGATTTGGATATGATTTGGATATGATTTGGATGCGCTTACAGTACATGGTTTGATGATTTTCCTTCAATACCAGTGCTGCCAGGCAACCCAGAAAGCCCGGGAGGCAATTCAAAAGTACTGCGGCTTGACATCCGGACCCAACATTTCGCTCCTCAGTTGATCGAAGCGTACGAACCGAACCAAATATGGATACGTATCGGCATAGAAAATAAACTGCCAACAAAAAACATGTGAGAATGAGGCTGCCTCAGTGGAAGTTGATCCCCAGACTTCTCCCAGCCTGCCGTCCAAGGAAGACTCTGGAGTTACATACCTATCACTCGCATCTTGGACCATGATGTTTTACGATTTATATGGGTTTGTCTGAAAATAGTGTATATTCCCAATGAAATAGCCATTTAATAGGGATAATGATCAGCAAAACCATTGGGTAAATGGGGTTTTCTCTATTTTCAGACACACGATTTATATTTTGGCATGTTTTAGGGGTCTCACTCGGTGTGACCCATTTTGAGACAAACCCAACTCCTCGGATGTTTCCCCAGTCACTAGGTGGACACTGTTGGGAATTGGGGCCTTCCCGGGTTTTTCTGCACTTGCCAACACAAAGAATTAAAGAGAGAGAAAGCCAGAACTTGAGGAGTGCCTTCTATGAAATGGGTGAAGCCATGAAAGACTTCAAGAACAAAATCGCTGGCTTACAGATCAAGCATCTTGACTCAAGCACTAGAGTCACTAGAGGCTCAACAGCAACGCGACTGCGGGAGTGGTATGACCTTTGTTTCTGAGTGCAAGATGGATTTTAACATATTTTAACTGTCTTTTCTCCATGGCTTTGGTGTGCAGTGATGGTTTCTTGTGCAGTGTCAGGCTGGTGGCTCCTGAAAGGCTGGGTGCCCCCTTCAAGGCAACTCAGCTGCAACGTGGCTGGAACAGCTGTTCCCTGAACTGGTAGAGGGATGTAAAGGGTAAATCTGCAGGAAAGCCCCATGTTGCCAAAACCATGGTTTCCTTCTCATTCTTCCAGGGTTGCATCCAAATTCAAGTAGATTAGAAGCCACGTTCAGAAACATATTCGTATAGTCCGGGATGGATCAAACCATTAACCAGCTATTTTAGGGTACCATCCGGGTACCAGGGTTTTGACCCATCATATGATATATGGGCATGGGGGTTTCCTAGAATACGGGTATCCCCATATCATCCATTTTAGTAGGATCTTCCATTATAAACCAATCATTTTGGGGTACCCCCATGACTATGGAACCTGATGGAACCCCCCATATGGTTTTAGCCCAACTGAGGCTATGAAACTTTACCAAGCCACCATTGCCTCAGGTCACCATTGGGCCTGGCCCGGTGGCACACGTCTCGACGGCCGAAGCCACGATCCGGAAGACGCTGAGAGAGGCGACGCGGCGACGCTGAGAGTGGTGGATCGGAGCCATGAATAATGGTAGGATAACTTAGAATCTTTACTAGGGCTATTATTAACCATCATTAACCATACAATAACCATCATCATTAACCACATATTAACAGTATATGAACCACATATTAACCACATATAATCCATACAATGTGGGGCCCCCCAGTGATGTGAACGTTGGTTTATAAACCCCATGAATACTATAGTTATAGGTACCATAAACCATAGTGAAATTGGATTCATTGGCACCAACTTAACGCTATCGTTTGGGGGCCCCACTTTGTAGAATGTATATGTATATTATTTATATATATATGGAATATCCATGAATATTTCCACTTATATATGGCTTAAATGATTTATCCCACTTATGATAATATGATGATAAAGATATTAGGATAACCCACAATATTATGATAACCCACCTACACATTGCCCATCATGATAAATATGAGGATATGATGTGTATATATATATAGTATATACCCAGTGGTAAACGTTTACATAACTATGGAAAATCACCATCCTTTAAAATGGGTAAATAAACTATTTCGACTGGGCCATTTTCCAGAGGGTATATCCCGTCAATCTCCCATTAAATCACCTTAAATCCCATTAAAAATTGTGATTTCCCAGAGTTTTTTGTATGTGATGTGAACTATGCATTATGACCACATCCACAAGGTGATTCTACATTACCCATGGCTAAGATCAGCAATGGGACGATCTGATGTTCCCCATAGGTTGATCATACGGGGATTTTTTGTGGTAATCAGTTGGGTTCATTGATGATTTAAAGCCAACACCATTGACCAGTCTATACATATGTATATTATATGTATATATATGTTTATGTATACACATATGTATTACATATAATATAATCACGTCCACTGGACATTTATCAACCAATCAGTATTGATTTATCTATAGAGTTTTATCGGAATATGATTCACGAAACATATCAAGAACCGTAAATGTCAATCTCCATTTATGGTTGATGCTTATAACACGATACCCAGTTATAAGATTTATAAAGATATTGATTGAGGAATAGCCAGGTGTTTGACGCTACTCAGGTGGAATTGGAGCTTCACTACAAGCAGCGGAGAACTGTGCCCCCAGTGACACGGCAGCCAGATATTTCAGAAAGGAATATTCATGGGCCCATTGCAACATGGTGTATACTGATTGGTTAACAACGTGTTTTTACAACGGAATATATGTATAGATATAATATATAATATATATATATATACATAATCCACATACTCGTATCATATTACAATATACATATATGTAATACAATACAACTATATTTATATATGTGCCATATATACATACATAGATATAGATTAAATATGACTCATTATAACTCATTATAACTCATTATTGTTGGTTGGTTGGTTGGTTGGTTGGTTGGTTGGTTGGTTGGTTGGTTGGTTGGTTGGTTCATCAATATGCCTACGACTTCGTTCACGATTTCTTTTGCGGTGGGATTAGACCCACTATACATATTAGTCAAACCACAAGGGTATGTTCAATGGCTATACTCTCTAGTGAACTAATATAGCTATGGAAAATTGCCATTCACAGATCATTTACCTCATAAAAATCTTATCAATCAAACCCCCAAGGAACCCAATCGACAAGGCCAACATTGAGAAAATATAGTAATACATGATATCATATGAAAATATATGTCATTTTTTTTTGATCTTTCTGCGTGGATTCCTACTTGGGAGAGAGTGGCAGGGTTCCTCACCGTCAAGCTGAGGAGTTGAAGCATGCGATGATGTGCAAAAACACCAAGGAGCGCACAAGTTTTTTTTCCGTATATAATAAGAATATAACCATTTAAACCAGAATAGAACTGTTTCTGCATGGTTTTATATATTTCTGTCTACATGTATGTCTACATGTATGTATATATGTATGTATATATTATGTATGTATATGTATATGTATATGTATACGTATACGTATATGTATATGTATATGTATATGTACATGTACATGTACATGTACATGTATATGTATGTACTAATATATACAGTGTATGTATATATATATTATATGTATATGTATATGCATATGCAGATGCATATGTATAAGTATATGTATATGTATATACTAATATATACATTGTATATGTGTTTGTTTATCCATTGTATTAATATTGCATCCATAGCTTCATGATTAGCTGAGCCAGGAGGGCATCGATTGTCCCAACAAAGCGTGTCCCTTTTGTCACAGTCCTGAAGAGTTGCTTGGCAAAGTGGTGGTTTATATATGATTTAATACATTTTAATACTATTCATGGGACAATTTAATAGGATTTAATACATTTAAATGAATTTATGTGATTTTAAACGGTGGTTTAGAAGATCGGTGATGTTCTCGGTTGGATTTTTTTCAGAGAGACATTTCAGTGGATCGAACTGATGCTGGAAATTTCACTATTCCCTGAGACTGCTAGGGCTGCTAGGGGATGTGAAAATCCCAGTGAAAAAACGCAGTTGTGATGGCTTTCATGACGTGGTCTAAATTGGATGAACTTGGGACTTGATGCTGATTGAAAACAAAATGTTGTGTCCAACAGTGAGATGATTGATGTGGGGACTTGTGTCAGGCTGGAAATTGCGAGTCGCTGTTGCTATGAAAACAGCATCTCTGTTCCTGGACAGACTGTGGCCAGCACGTATCTAGTCCACAGCTCTTCAGCCTCCCAGAATTTTTGTGACTTGTAACTGCGTGGTGTAGTGGACCGACGTAGTCCAGTCTCAACGTATAGTGGGCTCAGAATGTTTTAAAAAGGCATACAGGCGTTGCCACAATTATAGAACGGAATTAGGAGTACAAAAGTACGGTAAAATACCGTACTTTCGTACTCCCCTGGATCCCGATTCCGCGCGGATTCGGATCCTGTTCGATACTTAATTTGTGGCTGTTCTGTAATTAAGTTGTGCTCCTCAACTTCCGTTCTATAATTGTGGCATATTGTGGCTATGACCATTTGGATATTATGTACATACATGATATCTACTGCATATGTAAAATACACAATTACACAAATACCGCGCATACATACCCCACAGAATATGGCCGTATATGGTACAGTACATACCTCGGTTCTCAAATTCACATTGAAACCACCGGCAACACGCAGATTGTGTGAGTCTTGGAGGTTGCTTACATGTATTTACATCATTTTATGTATCTTTCTGGGACCCCAGAAGAATGTACATAAAAACCAGAATTGTAGAACGGAATTATTGCAAGTTTGATTATAGAACACGCAATTGTAGAACAGAATTGATAAATGTGAGAAATATGGAGGAACACACAAGTATGGAACACAAACAAGAATTATAGAACGACAAAAAAGTTAGGAGTACGTGGTTGAGAGTAGTTTTTTCCCAACGTTCTGAGGAAACAGGAATTATGGAACAACAGGGTACGGTAAACAACCGTACTTTCGTACTCCTCAACTTCCGTTCCATAATTCTGGCAACCACCATACACCCATACCAAATCATTTGTGACAAGTCGACTCAGCTGAATTGCATTTCTTTTCGATTCTTTTTGATTAGTCTCTGCAAAGCTGACATGGTCAGATTGGTCCGAGCTTTTCCTCAGGCAGAAAGCGCCAACAAAAGCGCCGCCCATTATCACTGCAAAGGCGGCCACCGTGACCGGAATCAAAGGCTGCGTGACGTCCAAAGATCAGTTTTGTTTTCTCGTCGTTTGCCTGTTTCTCTCTCTCTCTCTCTTTGGTTGGTGGGTGGGTGGGTTTCCTTAGGTTCCTTTCGGTTTCCTGAGGTTTCTTCGGGTTTCTTATTGTTACTTCTGATGTCTTCAGTCTGGAGATCACTTGATCTGTGTTTTGCTTTGCGCTAGTTCCTCACGCCGCTCAGGTGACAAACCAAAGCCAGCCACGGCTGATGATGAAACCAGTGGTCTTTTGTAGACCTGACTTCGCCAAAAAAAACTCGGTCGGGGCATTTGGAGCCCGGAAAACAGGCGGCAGCACCAGGGGCTTTGGGGATACCATGGAAGCTGTGAGCCGTTGAGCTGTTAAGCTGAGGTCAGAAGTTGATTTATTCCGGCAAAATCCTGGCAGATGACGTCCCAAAGTTGCACTGGTGATGCATGGATGTGCACGATTTATGATTGGTTCAGTCAGCCATTTCTGATTTTCTCAGGTCACCCTTCAGGACTCCGGCTACCAGAGCACTGGATTCATTGTTGCCATGGCTACCAAGGCCAGACCTGGGGCGCTGTTTCCATGACAGGACTTGGATGGCAGCTACAGCTACTGAGTACTTACTGTACCAACTTAACAACCCATTTTCTTTTAAGATATGATGTTCTTACCCACTTGCTAACCAGGATGCACATCCAAGGGTCAGAGCTTCTGAGTCTTGTGTGCAAGGCCAAAGCGCCGAGTGCAAAGGCTCCTGCTTGGATCTCAGGGCCGATTGCTCCAGCTTCAACCCTTCTGCCTCGAATCCGCCATGTAAGCCCACCTATACGGATATTTTTTTTCAATCATATTTTATCTTCGATGTTCGATTATTTTTTCCAAAAAAAGTCAACAGTCAACATGTAAAATATCATATGTCGACAATCACTGATAATTAATGGTATATAATCATATCATAAACTAGAGTTTTATGGAATGGCGGGGTACGGGTTCCTACCCTTCAAGCGGGATAAAATCATCAATTAGTTATGAACATTTTAATCATTGAACATTATGATAATAGTTCTATCACACATAATCATCATATTTCAATGATAATCATTATATTTAAATATGATATATAACAATCATTATCTTAACAATGACAATGATGATAATCTCATAAACAGTTATATTCCTTTATACATTAACAAAATAAGATATCTTAACATCGTATAATAATAATATTTGAAGAATATCATACTGTAATCAAGTATATAATAATAGCATAATCTTATATCATATAAATATATATAATCATCAGAACCGTGATATTTATCATCAATGATAATCATGATATTCAAATATGATACAGAATACTCATGTGACACTATCATCATAATAATCATTATCTTAACAATGGTATAATGATATAATAATATCCTGTCAGTTCAAAGTGACTATTTTGGGCCTAGTAAGTGACCATTTCAATGGTTAAGTGACCTCAAACCAAGGGAGAAAGAGGTCACTTTGAATGGTCTGGATTGTATTGTAATCTTATACAATTCAATGGATTGGATGATGGGAAAATTTACAGGAAAGCCCCTATCTTTAATGGGAAAATCTATGGTTTCCTGTAAATTTTCCCTTAAACCAATTCATTGAACAATATTATTCCTCAACTTCCCAAAGAACTGAGGCCCCTACACCGGCAACTCCAGCAGCTACACCAGCTCCAGAAGCTACACCAGCGCCGACTCCAGCAGCTCCAGCTGCTCCAGCCGCTTGGTTAGCGTTGATGATCCCTTTTTCCATGGAATTCGAATGGGATTTTACCAACCAAATGGTGATTTAATGGGATTTTAATGGGATTTTACCAACCAAATGGTGATTTAATGGGATTTTAATGTGATTTTACCAACAAGAATTGTGATTTAATGTGATTTTAAATGGAGTTTTACAAACAAAAATTGTGATTTAATGGGATTTTAATGGGATTTTACCAACAAGAATTGTGATTTAATGTGATTTTAAATGGAGTTTTACAAACAAAAATTGTGATTTAATGGGATTTTAATGGGATTTTAACAACAAAAATTGTGATTTAATGTGATTTTAAATGGGAGTTTTACAAACAAAAATTGTGATTTAATGGGATTTTAATGGGATTTTACCAACAAGAATTGTGATTTAATGGGATTTTCATGGGATTTTACCAACAAAAATTGTGATTTAATGGGATTTCAATGAGATTTTACCAACCAAATGGTGATTTAATGTTATTTTAATGTGATTTTACAAACCAAAATGGTGATTTAATGGGATTTTACCAACCAAATGGTGATTAAATCCATTTTACCAACAAAAATTGTGATTTAATGGGATTTTAATGAGTCTTTACCAATAAAATTTGTGATTTAATGGAATTCGAATGGGATTTTACCAACCAAATGGTGATTTAATGGGATTTTAATGGGATTTTACCAACCAAATGGTGATTTAATGGGATTTTAATGTGATTTTACCAACAAGAATTGTGATTTAATGTGATTTTAATGGGATTTTACAAACCAAACTTGTGATTTAATGTGATTTTAATGGGGTTTTACCAACCAAATGGTGATTTAATGGGATTTCAATGAGATTTTACCAACCAAATGGTGATTTAATGTGATTTTAATGGGATTTTACCAACAAAAATTGTGATTTAATGTGATTTTAATGTGATTTTACAAACCAAAATTGTGATTTAATGGGATTTTAATGTGATTTTACAACCCAAAATTGTGATTTAATGGGATTTTAATAGGGTTTTACCAACCAAAATTGTGATTTAATGTGATTTTAATGGGATTTTACCAACCAAAATTGTGATTTAATGGGATTTCAATGGAATTTTACAAACTAACATAGTGATTTTAAAGGGGTTTTAATGGGATTTTACAAACCAACATTGTGATTTAATGGGATGTTCATTGGATTTTACCAACAAAAAGTGTGATTTAATGGGATTTCAATGGGATTTTACCAACCAACATAGTGATTTTAATGGGAGGTTCACTGGATTTTTCCAGCCAACATGGTGAGTTAAGTTGGTTGTACTACCCTCCTGTAAAGGTTTACATAGATGTGGAAAACTTACCACAAAATTCGATCATTTTCCGCACGAGTTTCCCCATGGTTTTTTCTATTGGTTTTCCAGATCTATGCAAAGGTTTACCTGGGGTATCCAATACATACTTGTATATATACAATGTGGGCCCCCCCAGTTATAAGATGGTTTATAAAGCCCATGAATACTATAGTTATAGGTACCATAAACCATAGTTATTGGAGTTATAAACCAACTTAGCTACCCCACTATATATACATATCATTATGAATCCAACATACTGGAAATCCTTTTAGAAGTATGTAACTATAACCATTATTTCATGGAATGACAAAAGGTTTTGATTTCATCTCATGTCAATATATTTCAATGGGCTAATTAGAATTTCATCTGGTAGTCGGCACATAACTCGTGGTAAGTTGCTGAGATATGCTCCATTTCCAACGACTGGGTATACGTCAGCAGCGACTTAGGCAGCGCCTGCCGCAGTCAGACCCCCAGTGGAAATGCTGTGCAAATCTTCCTTTCGGCGTTCTCGGGGAGAACGTAATGATCAGATGGTACCGTCACACGACAGGTGCTCTATGATCGTTTACCTTATATTATGAATATAGTAATGATACGAAGAAGAAGAAGAAAAAGAAGAAGAAGAAGAAGAGGAGGAGGAGGAGGAGGGAGAAAAGGAATAATATATGATAAACATGAATATTCATAATTAAAAACCACTGACAAGAATGATAATAGTAATATTAATATTGATAATGATAGTACCCATAATAATACTGTTAATAATATGATATACTTTATGCATATATACATGTGTGTGTTACATTTGTGAGCATGTAGTGTTCCTGTTGATCGGACAATCGTCAGCCTCTTGGCTGATTGCAGGATGCTCCCCTTGACGCTTGTGACCCAGTTCCGAGAGAGGCCTGTGATTCACTTGAGGTTTTTACATGCAAAACAAACTCAAGGGAAGATATTCCGGACATCATGAATTACCAAAGATCTCTAGCATATCACTGGTAAATGATGATTGATGGATGGATTGTTGCCATTAATAGGTACTGTATATTTTAGGGACATAAAGTGGAAATATACAAGATAGGTTTCCTGCAGATTTTCCCCCCTCACACACACAGTGCGAGAGTGCAGCCGCCCCATTCAGGAAGCTTCAGTGCAAAGCCTTATGGAAATGGGTTTTCCACGTGACCAGGTGGCGGAACTACCTCAGCTGCCTCGATTTTATGGATGGCATCGTCAAAGCTTTGGCTTAGTACACCTTTTCAACTGGCAAAAGCTGAGTGTTTATCATTAAAACTACGGGAAAATAAACGGGTACCAACCACCAGCCACCCCTGGGATAAGGAGGTCATCAACATTTAGCCACCCGGAAGGTGGAAGCAGCACTTCGAGCAGCTCCAGGGCGAAATACGATGGTAGCAGTAGAGTTTCTCGGAGCACCTGAAATTCACTCAAACTGGCAACCTTGACATATTGAATTGGCACGCTTGACATATGGATTTACATGCATTTTTGAGACTTACAAGCTGATGGATCCATGCATTTTAAGTGTCATATCTTCCGCAGCAATTTTTATCTGCCGATGTCTCGATGTCTGGGGAATCCTCTTGTCCTGGATCTACCCGGATGAGTTGTGTAAACTGAGGTTCTTGATGACAGGAATCCCTGAAGCAGGGCCTGAGATGCCGGTGGGGCCCCCTGATGCCCCCTGCATCCCCTGAGAAAACCTTGACACTCCAGAAAAAATAGAATAAAATTCATCAATTCATCAACCTGGCAGTGTGTCAAAACCTTGTACCCCTGGTGAACATCAAAATAGCTGGTAAATGGATGTTCATCCCCCTAAAAATGGTATTAATAGGTATTGATCCATACCCACCTGAATAAACTATATAAACTGGTGAGTTCGGGGGTTCCAAGAAGATGTTTTCTTGCACCAAATCGCAGGCGGGAGGACTTCCTTTTCCGTATGGTCATGGACCAGGAGGACCAGGACCACAAGGACCGCCAACTGGGTCTCCCACGTATCGCTGATCACATCAGAAGTCATGGCCATGAGGAGAGGTTGGAGACAACGAACCAATGCCAGAGGTGCTGGCCCAACTGCGAAACAATCCTCAGTCGGCCGCTAATTGCAGTGATTTCCCACCGTTGTCCCGGTGAGATCGGATGATATCACCGAGGTTTGGCCAGCTTGCGGCGATGATCGCGCAAAATCCAGGGATGATGGCCCATGTCTTAGCCTTTGCTGAAAAGCTCGCAATTCTTGACCATTACCCATGACGGATCCATGGTGCTGCTATATATGGTAACATGGATCCCATCAATATATCCCAAATGTTAGCATAACCATACATGGATCCTATGGGTTATGAGTTTCTCACACACGCTGCTACTGAGCTCGTATGTATTTCATGCCGTTCCCCCAGGACCAAGTGATGCGAGGTGTTCAACAGACTCATCCTGAAATTGCGCAGGCAGAGCGCATGCACGCAAGCAATTTACGATAATTTGCGTGAATTTCTCTCTGGACTAAAGTCGTGACTTTGATGAGGAAAACGGTTCAAAACGAGCAAAGATAGAACGTCACTTTCATTCATCAATATTCATCTTATAGTCATCCGTTCCAAGGAATCATCCTCAAAATCCTCATCCTCGACTTTCAAACATTTTTTATTTTCCATAGTACATGGGATGTCATCCTTCCCAGTGACGAACTCATATTTTTCAAGATTGTGGTCTTGCACCACCAACCAGCCGACAGTGTCCAGCAAGGCGATCCAGGAGCATCCAGATGCCTTCATGAGGCTTTTGCAGGAAGCCACTGGAGGAGCACTACAGCCACAGGCTTTTCTGGGCAATGTTTAAAGTCTTGGTCAGCCAACTGGTCATAGCAGCTAATTTAGCAGCTAATGATAGGGCCATAGTAGCAATTTCAGTACCATACACGACCACAGCAATGCATCAAATGCTGATTTTGGATCTCCCAGGTTGGCTGACTCTTGCTGCGCGGGCTCAAGTTTCTGTTGGATTTCCAGCTCGCAAAACAATGTCTGAAAGCATCGCAAAAGTCGTGTTTATCCGACACGGAGAGAGCCAGGGCAATGCCAAAAATGTCTATACTGGCTGGGATGATACGCCTTTGAGCATCAAGGGAGAGCAGGAAGCAGAAGAAGCTGGACTTTGTTTGAAAGCAAAAGGCCTCAAATTTGACATCTGTTTTACCTCAGCCCTCCAGTTGCTTGGCAAGTCTGGGAAATCCAAGCTAAAAGGCTTGTCATTGACACACACACACAATTTGACATGTTATTTTTCAATTTTGTGTTGATAGTGGGTCTGGCTTCCCCCACGTTTCCACTAACAGCCCCACTTTTAAAGGGGCAAAGGGGCATTTTTTCGCTTCCAATGGATTCGACATGGGGACCCCATTCCAAATTCAGGGAGAGGCGGTACAATTATATAATATTATATCAAATCCTGTAGGTTTGTTATTTGGTTTCTACATTCATCATCAATTAATCACTCAACTGGGTTTGTCTGAAAATTGGGATACCCCAGTTTATGGCTAGTTTAGTAGGAAAATGACCGGAAAAAAATTGTAGGGGAGTGTCATTGAGATCTCAGTGGCACAAGGCCCTCTTCACATTTCTTTCATGAAAGATAATTTGGCGACAGAAGTGATTGAAACGGAGAAAAACATGTTCTTTTTTTTTTGGTGAAGCCATATCCATTTACCCAATTACCAACATCCATTTACCCAGTTACATCAGTTACATCGTGATGTTCAGTGACTGGTAGTGGTCGGGTGATCGCCATCATCGTCTCCCATCGACCAAAGCAAAGGCGGGCGACCAAAACCGCCGAGCGCGTGCTGAAAGTCTCAGGCAACAGCTCCGTTCAGGTCGCCTGGTCCAGCAAGAAGGCGGAGTTTTCACCAAAAAAAATGCGGGTTCCAACGGGTTCCATAGTCATGGGGGTACCCCAATAGCTGGTTGATAATTTCTAATTCATGGAAAATCCAAAAATAAATTGGATGATTTAGGGATATTTAGGGGTATCCCGGTATCCCCATTTTTAGACCTCAAACTTGGATTTGAGTATATGGAAATTACTCAACTATGGGATGCGCCCAAGGAAGTAATTTGATAAGGCACATGATGTTCTAAACTTTCAAAAGTCGACAAAACCCCATTCAGATTGATACTTTCGGTTATTCCAAACCATTCACTGGATTTCGGTTAGAGTCTCACCAAGCAAGAATCCTTAGCTTTTACCATTAAATATACAAGTTTCTGGTTTCAATTTTCCCTTACACCATTTTTGCGACATTTTGCAACACTTGATTTTCCTGAAAGATCTGGATAACCATAAACCATCATAAACCATCATTATCGTGATGATTTTCCCAACAGTTAATCATCACCCACGGTAAAAATTCATGTATTTTCCCATCTTTTCCAGGATTTCCCCGTATTTTTCCATCTTTTCCATCTTTTCCCATATTTTTCCTGGTATTTCCTGGTATTTCCCCGTATTTTTCATGTATTTTCCCATCTTTTCCAGGATGATCCTGGGACCCAGGGATGATCCCTTAGGGAACGTCCCAGGTGGACAAGAGTTGGAAGCTCAACGCACGCCACTCGGGTGGCCTTCAAGGTTTGACCCAGGCCGAAGCCGTGGAGCGTTACGGGGAATCCAAGGTCACCCTGTGGAGAAGTCCCTTGGAATGAAAAAGCCAGGGGATTTCCCATGGGAAAATGGGGGAAGTTCATGGGATATAGGGATCTAATAGGATTATGTACTTTGCATATATATATATATATATGAGCATCCGACAAAATTATTGGAATACTAAAGTAGTAAAGAGCTGCCTTGAACTTTGCTTACCTTCACGAAACCTTCACAACCGATAGGGGACGACCCAGCACCGATACCCCTAGATCCCAACAAGTTCCCACAATAATCTGCAGCAGAGTGTGTATTTCTACAGAAACGACTGCAAACAAGGCTGTAAACAGCTACCTCAGCTAGCTTTCCTCTTAAAGAGCACCAAGAATATTGTTTGCGGCAATTCATGCACCATTCCCACCGATACCCCAACCGATACTAACCGATACCCAATCCTGCAATTTTTCTCACTTGCCAAGACCATGCCCCACGTACTGCTCTTACTCTTACTCTTACTCTTACTCATACTCATACTCCTGCTGCTGCTGCTGCTGTTGCTGCTGTTGCTGCTGTTGCTGCTGTTGCTGCCGTTGCTGCTGTTGCTGCTGTTGCTGCTGTTGCTGCTACTGCTACCCCTACTCATACTACTACTACTACTACTGCTACTACTACTGCTACTGCTACTGCTACTGCTACTACTGCTGCTACTGCTACTACTGCTACTACTGCTACTACTACTACTACCACCACCATTCCTACTATTACTCCTACTCCTACCCCTATCCTATTCCTATCTCACCCCTACTCCTACCCCTGCTCCTACTCCTACTACTCCTGCTGCTTCCGCTGCTCCTGCTACTGCTTCTGCTTCTTGTACTACCAGTACTTCTACGATGACGATGACGAGTACTAGTACTAGTATTAGTACTAGTTCTAGTTCTAGTACTAGTAGAAGCATTTGCTGCTGGACGTTATTAAAGAGCGAAAATCTTCACAACCGATAGGGGACGACCCAGTTTTGCTCGTGGCAACTACGGTGAACAAATAATATTGTCCGTCACTCATATATATATATATATGTAGATAGATAGATAGATAGATAGATAGATACATGGATAGATAGATAGATGGATAGATAGATGGATAGATAGATGGATAGATAGATGGATAGATAGATGGATAGATAAATAGATAGATCGATAGATCGATAGATCGATATAGATGGATAGATAGATGGATAGATAGATGGATAGATAGATGGATAGATAGATGGATAGATAGATGGATAGATAAATAGATAGATAGATGGATAGATAGATGGATAGATAGATGGATAGATAGATAGATAGATGGATAGATAGATAGATCGATAGATAGATCGATAGATAGACAGATAGTTAGATAGATAGATCGATAGATCGATAGATCAATATAGATAGATAGATGGATAGATAGATGGATAGATAGATGGATAGATAGATGGATAGATAGATGGATAGATAAATAGATAGATAGATAGATGGATAGATAGATGGATAGATAGATGGATAGATAGATAGATAGATGGATAGATAGATAGATAGATAGATGGATAGATAGATAGATCGATAGATAGATCGATAGATAGACAGATAGTTAGATAGATAGATCGATAGATCGATAGATCGATAGATCGATATAGATCGATAGATAGATGGATAGATAGATGGATAGATAGATGGATAGATAGATAGATAGATAGATGGATAGATAAAGATATAGATAGATAGGTGGATAGATAGATGGATAGATAGATGGATAGATAGATGGATAGATAGATGGATAGATAGATGGATAGATAGATGGATAGATAGATGGATAGATAGATGGATAGATAGTCATCCCCAAATAGATGGACAAGTAAATCCCTACTAATTTGATGGTGATAAAAACTTTTCGAAAATGGTGATGTATCCAGCGATGATTTTTGGATATATCCAACCCTGTGAGATGGGGATATAATGGTGATCCAATAGGATTAATTAAACAACAACATGATCTGTGTCTGAGATTGGGGGATTGGACCCTCAATTCAGAATTCATGTCATGATGATGGTTGATGGATGATGATTGGGTGATGATGACGGATGATGGTTAATAGCTAGTAGAGAAAATCAATGATCCATCATCATCCAACCATCATTCATCATCATCATCATACCATGATTGTATATTAACATCATCGGCTACCATCATGGTTAATATACAATCATGTGCGAAAACATCAAATATGGGGGTGCCGATTGTCGCCGATTGTCGCCGATCGTCAGACAGCCAGCCAAGTGATCCGGTGATGTGGGGAAGCAGCGAAGCCTTTGTCTTTGAGATATCATTTTTTCCAACGACCAAAATTAGGGGTTTTGGAAAATCATTAGGTGAATCTTAGTTTTTATGTTTGTTGTTGATGAGATACCCTCTGGTAATTTAACATGGCTACTGAAAATGGCCATTTATAGTGGATTTTCCCATAAAAAATGATGGATCTTTCCATAGCTATGTTAGTTTACCAGTTTCCCATAAAAAATGATCATTCACCATCCGAAGATCCTGGAGATCGAATTGGGGATACCTGCGCTGCAAGACACTCCGGAAAAAAAACCCATGATTTGGTCAAAGAACTATGACTTGGACATAGCACATCAACCTACCTGCCATGACTCTGAATGATTTTCGTATTTGTCAGGGAGGTCAAAATAGTGTTTCTAGATAGTGTTTTTAAATCCCTGGTATTTTAGGCCTAGAAATGCGCACTTAGCCTAGTTATAGATGATTGCCATTGAAATGCCCATGGCTAGTTCGGGGATTTCTCCAGCAGCCCACCATGTTAGTTCAGAGACCTTATATAAGGTATACCTTCTGGTCATTTAACATAGCAAAAATTGCCATTCATAGATATTTATATTTGATTTACTTACCTACATTAAGAATGATTTTCCATAGAAAGTGCGTGGATTTACCTATATCAAGAAGTGATTTTTCCAGTTCGCAAACTGTTTTTGTTCCTCTTCGGTTGTAGCCAAACGTTTCGTGAACGAACGGCTCAGGTAGCTATGATATTCTCCCTGCCTGTGTTGAGCACTCAGCCTCTCGGAGCAATTTACATAGTCATGCTGCTATAGTCATGCTGGTATAATGATAATTATTGATTATATAAATTGCATATATATATATATACAGAGTATATATATATACATATATATATATAATATACATAGTTGTATATATACTGAGCCACAGTCAATAATATATGTATCTAGAGTTATACTAAATTTGAATCTATATTTCACGGTAGTCATACAACAACAGCTGGGAATTGCACCTCAATTTCTCCTAGGATCCAAGACATCCAGTACACGACCCGAAGTACGCGGGAGTGGCTCCAGAGCTGTTACCCCCCGGGGGAGAGTCACTGGCGTGCACAGTGAAGCGGGTGGTACCACACTGGAAGGACCGATTTTTTTTCAAGATGCAAAAGCCAGAATTTCCGGTTGACATTTTCTCTTGCACAAAAAAACAAATCTGTTGGAGGGTGGACAGCTAGCAAACACATTCCCAAACACTGCTTGAACGGTAGATGTTGGTGGTGTTTGCTGGTTTGCTCCCCCCATGGTGACAAAAATGAAAACCTCTTGCTGAGACTCAATGATTAATTGTCCACTTCCCTTGATGAACGGTCACAAACTTTTCTGTATTTCTCCAGTACCCGTGGCTTTTCAGCAGGAGAAGATAGTGCCTCGCATTAGAGCTGGAGATTCAGTGATGGTGGCAGCGCACAAGAACTCACTTCGAGCCCTGTGGAAACATCTTGAGACGCTTAAGTCAGTACTATCATGACATGTCATGACTCTCTGAAGGTAGTATTACATGCACTCAGCACAAACGTGCTGCACTTTCAGTCTACCCTCTGGTAATTTAACATAGCTATTGAAAATGGCCATTTATAGTTGATTTACCCACTAAACATGGTGATTTTCCATAGTTATGTTTGTTTACCAGAGGGTAATTTTTACCTCCAACATCCTTCAACATCCTTCAACATCCTTCAACATCGCCCGGATCTTCCCAGGAATGTTCCAGATGAAGATGCTCTTGACATCAAGATGATGCCTGCGAGCGCCCCCCTGGTGATTGAGTTCCAGATTCCACCTGTCGGAGACGATCTGATTTTCTTGAGAAAGTACAGCTTGAACGCTCCAACATTTAATCCGAAGGCGCGATAATTAGCAGCATTTTCATCCATTTTCACACTGCAAGGCGTTGAGCAGATGATTTTGACATACTAAGATTGAAAAGAGATGAACAGAGTTTAGCACTTTGAGTGTAGCCCCCACGAAAAGATCAGACTCCTAGCGAACGGACATTGAGAATCAGCCAGGTTCGCATTGATTCCTTGTCCAATGGAGTCACAAACAAGGCAGGACCTGATTGCAGTTGACCTGCAGATACCTGCAGTATGTGGCATGGTCAAAGGATGATCTACCGATATCCACCCCATTTTTTTGGGGGTCATACAACTATCGGACATTACATACTCTACCCCATATGCGAACCATGGTGCTGGAATATGAATCCCAACATTTGCCCCATTTTTATGACCCAGTTTTGTAGGTAAATATTCCGGCACCATGGAGCACATGGGTACCTGTAATGGCCAAGACAAAGATTCCCCAATAATGATCAATAATGATGGGATGACCATAGCCCATCCCATGTCACTTGACCATGGCACATACCTGGTAATAGATTTTTTTTTTTCCAATCCGTTTTCAAAAAACTTGGTTTTTGACCATTTTGAAGAAACAAAACTACTCTGGAACGGTTTTTTTTTTCAATACGAACGCCCTTTTACGCCCCATAATGCTTCCGAACGCTTTTTTACACCCCGTAATGCTTTTCCTTGTAAAAAGACGAAATCATACCATTTCAGATCTTGACAATTCCTTCATTTTTGTGTAACATGTTACGAACGGTTTTGAACGGTTTTTGAACGCTTTTTGAACGCTCTTGAACGCGAACGCTTTTTTTACGCAATTCGGTTTGAACGGTTCTTTTCTGCTCTGTGTTTTTTGTTATTTATTTTTGTGATTTTCCTCCAAAAAACTCTTTAAAGTATTTTAAACTATTATTTATTTTGAAATCATGTATTTACTGATCGGAAATAGACCCCCAAAATACAAGAACAGATCCGAACGTTAAAAAAGTGCTCTAGAGCACTTCTTTCCAATCCGTTTCCCAAAAATATTGTTTTTTAGAAACAGATCATTTTTTTTCAATCTAAGGATGTACCAGGTATGTTACATCTGAGATGGTCAGACAATGTATATTTTGGAGGTGAAGCGAGTTGATATGCTTATTAGTTATATATAAAATTGGTCATAACAGAATATATTCCGATGTCGCCTTTAGATCCACTTTTCAAATCACCTCTGGAATTCCTTTTCTGCGTATCTATATGTTGATCCAAAAATCACAGTGATCGAATGTGATTGATGGCTTGAAGTCTTGATCTTTAAGTCATCATGTTTCGTGTCGCAAATAATATCAAATAATGCTGCCTGTTTTCCCCCTATGGGCCCCCGCCCTGACATTGCCGAGGTGTTCTTCCTGCGGCATGCTGAAAGTCTGGGCAACGCCAAGGGCATTTATGGCGGGTGGGAGGATGCTGCCCTGAGCATGAAAGGCGAGCAACAGGCAGTTCAGGCGGGAGGCTACGGGCGATGTTTTGGAATGGCATGGAATGGCCATCAATCTGAGACAGCTCCGGTTGGTAGAATTCTCTACAGGTGAAACATGGTGAAACATGGTGAAACATGGTGAAACATGGTGAAACATGGTGAAACATGGTGAAACATGGTGAAACTGATCCACTTTGCATATCTTTGCACCATATCACAGCGGGCGAGGCTGGATTGCTGTTGAAGCAGCAAGGCGTGACCATCACCCATGTGTTCACGTCCGTGTTACAGAGAGCAGCCAGAGCCTTACAGGACAGTCTGACAGATGTGGTGGAAAAAGTGGATGTAGATGTGGTGAAAAGAGTGGATGTTGGGATGTGTCAAAACCTAGGGCATGAGCATCCATAAAGCTCCTTTGCTGTGAAAACAAGGGTTTTGATGGGTTTTGACCCATAGATATGCAAGCAAGACGTGGTTTGTCTGAAAACGGAGTACTGTACACCCAATCCCAAAGGATTCAAACCTCCTTTTTTGCAAGTCAATGCCCTCCTTGATGAGTGCTTAAACCACTAAGGTCAAGACAGCTGAGCTGGTGTGTGGAGCCTCTGACAACGAGGATGTGCCCACGACTCGTGCATGGCAACTGAACCCTGGCCACTCAGGGGTCCTTCAGGCGATTTGGAGTGCATAGCGATCCAAGGAAAATATACAGGAAATGCCACTGTGGTTTGTTGACATTTTTTAACCATGAAATTTGGGGTGCCCTGTAAATATCTTCCCTTAAAATTCACTACCAATCAGATGATAACTCACCGATTTTGCCACGTTGCCGACATCAGTGCAGGGCCTGACGGAAGTGGAAGCTTTCGAGATGTATGGCGAAGAGAAGGCTGCGGTGTTGGGCCATTCTTCCTCTTTAACGGAACATACTCCATGGCCGCCCATGGCCCATCAGACCTCTGAAATATCTGAACCATTCTTAGTCACAAGCTGGTTGGTGGTTTGGAACATGTTTTTTCCATATCTTGGGAATGTCATCATCCCAATCGACGAACTCATATTTTTCAGAGGGGTAGGTCAACCACCAACCAGATAATGTTATTAACCATCATTAACCATCATCATTAACCATCATCATTAACCATCATCATTAACCATTAACAGTATATCCCATGACGGATCCATGGTGCTGCTATATATGGTAACATTTACCGAATCAATATACCCCCAATGTTAGCATATATACACTTATATACCATATATGACATTGGGGGTATATTGATGGGATCCATGTTACCATATATAGCAGCACCGTTAGGATCCGTCATGGGATATGTGTAAAAACGTTTAAGTGGACCCTTCCGAGCCATCGGACCGATCGGGGTATTTTTTTGAACGGCCGAGCTGACGAGCTTTCTAATGCAGGTCAAGCATTGGAGATCCAGTGACACTGAGCGATAGAAAAGTAGCGATTTTCGTTCGACACGTGGGATGAATCTTTCACTGGATTGGTTTAAGGGAAAATTGGAACCGGAAAACACCATATTTCATGGGAAAATCTATGGTTTCCTGTAGATTTTCCCTTAAACCAATCCAGTGAATCTTGCTACAGGCCGCTAAGTATGTGATGTTTCTGTTAAGTATTAGTGTGTTTGAAGACTTGAATAACATGTTTTATCATGTTTCCATTTTTTGGGATTTACCATTGGCGTCAAGAAAATTCACTCATTGGCACAAGTGGATGACCTAGGATGATGTGAAGCCTGAAAGCGTCGACTTGAAAGATCCCAGACACCCAGCGAATGACAAGCTCTATGCCGAAGTGCCAGTGGAAGAACTTCCAGGTGGCGAGTCACTTCACATGACAGCTGAGACTTGCCATGCAATCAGTCATCGTGTGTGCATGTAGGTTGTCACTGGTTGTCATTCAGATTTGTTTTGACATGGGAATCCAAACAATCTGTTCACCTACAAGTGCTTCTGAATGGCAACCTACAGTTGCTTCACCCATTGTATTCAAATTGTAGGTAAGTCTTGGCACTTTGTTTTTGAACACCAAAAGCCGTGCACCACTGCACAGCGGCCTGGCAACCAGCCATTGCCGTGAAAGGCACGCGTGTGGCCTTACTGGACCAACAACATTGCGCCAATGTTGACAGGCGAGCAGATGCGGCTGGGCTGGGTTGTTTCAAGGGCTGGTACCGTTATTCCAAGGGGAAAATCCATCGTGTTCCCAATGAACATTGGCATATCAGTAAATTTGGGGGTAGATCCCCCAGTCTTGGACAGAACCCTAACGTTTCTAGGCTCACCCTTCCGATACCTTCCCAAGTCTTCCCATGTCAATCCCCGAATTGATAAACCCTGCTTGTTGAATTGCCTACCAGGCCTACCATTTCAATATCAATGTATCACTATTTCGGGGGAACCCCCTCATTAATCAACATGAATCAAGCAAGGTTTAGCCTCATTCAGCTCTTGCCCTGGTCAGGCGAGCGGAACATTTTGGTGGTGGCGCATCGGGACTCGCTGAGAGCACTGTTTGGTCATTTGGAGGCTGTGGAAGCGGCCACCGTCTTCGATGGAACGTCGCAGACAGCTCCATTGGTATATGAGTTTGGCAACTCAGAACAACTTCCAGCCGGGATGAGACCAGAATGGTAAAACCCCGCCAAAGAGGGATTATTTTTAGTAGACTTAAAGGGTACCCCGGGGGCCCCGGGAATGTGAAACAGCCTAGGGGTTTCATAATCCGGGGTTGACACGAGTGAATTGCAAGGATTCTGCAGATCAAACGGGGCTTCTTTTTTTCTTGGTCGTGCAGCTGGATGCAGCTTTTTTTCGAGGTAATGACGGAACCTTCTTCAAAAAATACAGTCTCAGTACGATGAGTCCAGAGTTGGGTCTCAGTCCAAAGCATCTGGGGCTTCTTCGATTTCATAATCAGCCCGGTGTGGACTATGAGAAGGTTGGCCAGGTGCCGACGGAGATTGCGAATTGAACTTAAGTTGTAAAATCATGTAAAATCATGTAACCATGTCCAACTGACCTTTCGCATAGTTGTTTCAAATGTTTTACTGTACATCTTAGATCATCTCAGTTGGTAGATGGTTTATCCCATTATAATCCCATTATTTACAGTGTTTCATAGTACCTTTGGAAAATTCGAATCGATGACCGTTTCTGCAACGGGACCTCATGCACCGACCCGGCCACCAGTTGTGTCCCGCTGCGCCATGCTGCACCGCTGGGAGGTGGTTTTCCTCCGTCATGGAGAAAGCGAATGCAATCTGAAAGAGCAGTTCACCGGCTGGGAGGATTCTGGAATGACACCGAAAGGTTTTGAACAAGCACGAAAAGCTGGAAAATATTTGAAAGATCACGGTTTTCAATTCGACATTGTCTTCACCTCCGTGCTCAGTCGAGCCATTGAATCGGCTGTGTTGATTTGCGAAGACTCGGAGAACAAAGATGTGCCGATTGAGAAGGCATGGCAACTCAATGCACGACACCCTGGAGTGTTGCAAGGCTTGACGAAAGAGGTTGCTGTGAGTTTATACGGAAAAGAAAAGGTGAATATTTGGAGAGGCAGCTATGACGTGATGCCAGAGTGTGTTGGATTGGATGATAATCGCCATCCTGTCAACAATCCGAGCCCTGGCAAATCAGGGCATATCAGGGCATCCGGGATGCTGGGAGATCCTGGGAGGCTCTTGCAGGAGTTTGACCTACCCTCTGGTAATTTAACGTAGCTATTGAAAATGACCATTAATAGTGGATTTTCCCATTAAAAATTGTGATTTTCAATAGCTATGTTAAATTACCAGAGGGTGTATGGTAAACTGATGTAAAATGATGTAACATGTAATTATGTGTTTAGTTCATTTTGCTATATTTTGCTTCTACATTTAGTGTTCCTGCATCCAGAGATTTCAAGTTGTCGTTGGGCTTTGTCACTAGTGACATCTAGTGACTATGTCCAAAGAATAGGAATCATAGGAATCATTGCGCCCCTTTTTTTTTATTGTGAAGCGCTATTTTATAGGCCATCCCGATGAATGTGGACCACTGTGTGACCACGTGTGATCCATGCCTCGCCTTTGTTCACGAGGCTTTACAGCGGCATTCCCAAGCGAGAGCTTCCCCCGGGTGGTGAGTCCCTGGCGCGGACCGTGGATCGCATCGTCCCCTACTGGAGAAGAAGAGACTTGACCGACTTGGAGCTGGGACGATGGGACTACTGGATGGCATTCCTATGGCGGAAGGTACCCCAATGATGGTTATGTTATGGTTATGGGTAAAACTATGGGTAAAACCCCCCATGATGCTTATGGATGGTTATATGGTTATGTTATGTTAAGTTGAAATATGGATGGTTTTGGGAGATGGCTTACCTCGATTTTCGGCAATTCTCATAGTCCATCCTGGGAGTCCTGGTCTCACTTAACCAGTATCTTTCTATGTCACGCCAAGTTTGAATGGTAGCTGCCAAACTTTATCCTAATGTTGAGAAGTGCTTGTTGTGTGTGTGCTTCAAGCGTGTCTCCACATTTTGGCATTGCCTTGTGAAAAAGGTATCTGACTGAACGCTTCACAAGAGCCGATCCTCAGATATTCTGTTGCACCAAACTGGGCTGGAAGAGCTTCTCTCCACTCAGATGACTCAGATTCATGTTTTTGCCCTGGAAAATCATCAAAAGCTGGTTGCTTAACAGAGCCGCCAGTAGGATTTTGTGATGTACGCCAACGCGCGTCAGGTATTGCTCCACATATCAAAGCTGGCAAATCTGTTCTGGTGGTGGGGCACAAGAACTCCCTAAAGGCACAACTCGATCTTGGTTGTTTAACACTGACTAGGTCCTGACTGTTCAGTCATCCAAAAGCACAATTTGGTTTGACATAATGATACCATGTTCATCCATGTTCACCCTTCGCCTAGCTTCGCCCCTGGCCAGGCCTTGTTCATGTATTTAGAAGATACTTCAGAACACGACATGTTCGATGTGAAGCCTGTGTCTGCGACAGCGCCTTTAGTCATGGAATTCGGACGGTGCAATTTCAGCGATCGCTTGATGATTCTCAAAAAGTATTTTGTCAAACATACGACTGAGGAGGGACTAGCTTTGAGCCGCTGCAAAGATGGCTCATTCCACAAGTAACATGAAGATGCCTATTGTTTGTGCCGGAAGTAGCATGAAGTCGGTGAGCTTCCAGGCCGTTTCTAGAAAATGTATTTTAATTCTTGATGTCTCACAAGTCTGGGCCACGGAAACGGTGTCGCAAGCCGAAACCTACAGCAGTGCTGCGACGCTTATATATTTTATACTAGCGCCAGGAGTTTAATGAACTCGGCAGGGTTTCATAAGTTTAAAGCGAAGAACGTACAGAAGGCTCAGGGTGTGGAAAAGCTGTGGTGCGCAATCATTTGCAATGTCAACAACCAGATTATCCAGATGTTCGCAACTCGTTTCGCAAGGACAGATGGATGGGTTTGATTCCTGTTGGGTTGATATCGATGTTTCCAACATCCAATTTTCAGACTAATTGTAATTAAAAAGCAACATAGTTCGTTAAATGTAGTAGATTATAGTTTAGATAAATATGTAATTACATAATATTACATATATGCATATGTATATGTGTATATATATATATATATATGTATATGTATATGTATATGATATGTGTATATTATATATATATTATATATCCCATGATATACTACAACATACAGCACCTCCCCGGCGGATCATCTCGCCAGGCGGATGATGGCTTCGTTGGTCCTGGCGGAGCCACCAGGGAGCAACTGGCCGCCCTCACGGCCATGCTGCAGCAAAATCCAGAGATGTCTCCAGCCTCAGCCCAGCCATAAAAACCACCGAAATGTGCAGATATCAATGGGAATTCTCCAGGATCCTAAAATGGAGGTACGTTAGTACCATATGTTTGGCCATATTTTGTGGGGATATTCCCTGAAATTTAGGCCTGAAAAATAGGCCTTATATATGCTTGGTACCTCCAATTTAGGATCCTGGAATGGCCATTGAAGATATGCCAGATTCTGATGATGTAGATAAGCCATAAATGGCGAGATGATTCTGATGATTCTGATGAAATGATGTTTTTGGGCAGAAATTGGTTCCACCATCTCTTCAGTTCCACTTAGTCGGTGCCGATCGGTTGCGCACTTAGTCGGTGAGTTGGTGACTCAGTGGACTCCCAGGCTGAACCAACTTCTCCCAGATATCGAAGCGCAAGATCCGCAGATGGCGGAGTTGATCCGCCCCACAGCTGAAGTGTTGCCACAGTTGCCGTTGTCACCGATGATCACCGATGATCGAAGCATCAAACTGACAGTCTTCTAAGCGTTTATGGTTTCTCTTTTGGATAATATATATATATTATAAATATATATTATAAATATATATATATATATCTATCGATATAACATATACATAATATATTATATATAATATATTATATATAATATATATAATATTATATATTATATATATTATTATATATTTAATATCATATATATTATATATATAATATATTATGTATATGTATATAATATAATATATATAATATATATAAGAGCGATATAATACCATGTAATGTACTAGTATCCTGCTTTTGGAATGAACATGATATCCAACTTTGAACATTTTGCCGCTGAAACGAGGTCAGAATCCTCAGACGCCTGTTTGCACAAGAAGGGCCAAGGGTTGTCCGAAAAGGGGGTAACCCCATGATTTTTCAAGGATTGTCTCGGTCTTCTCCATGTTTTCCCCACGATATTTTGGCAGAATTTGATTTTCTATAGCGAATATCCAGTTGATTTTCAGTCCACTGCCGTTGTGGAACATAGTTCCACAACATACGGTGGGTGGAAGAAATCCTGCACCACCTTGGATGGTTGAAACCTTATAAATCATGGGATAAACCACCTATCAACTGGTGCAGGATTTCTTCCATCCACCGTATGACACGTGTTCCACCTGAGGCGGCTCATCGAACAGTTGGCGCAACTTGGTCAGGGCCGAGGTGTGGAGTTTACCAACAGAAATGCCCCATGAATTGATGACCCAGTTTTGTAGGTAGCCGGCCTGGTAAACATACAAAAAGCTATGGAAAATATAGGAAAATTACCATTTTTAATGGGAAACCTCACTATTTCTATGGCCATGTTCAATAGCTATTAGTTAAATTACCAAAGGGTAAGTATTCCAGCACCATGGAGCATATGGGTATGGGATTCAGGCTGCCATGTTTTCGCATCTGGAGGAAAAAGGGTTTTCATCGGTTGAATCCCGACCTACAGGTGGTGCGCCTGGCATGCCCGGTGGCATGCCTGGTGGCATGCCAGGTATGCCGGGCGGAATGCCTGGGGGTGAAGTGATTCGATTGACAGAAGAAGAGAATGCTGCGGTCCAGTCCTTAGAATTTTCTGGAGTGCACTTGAGGTCTCCATAGGTATGTGACTTAATGATGATTATAGAACTTTGGACTGCTTTGCATTTGCTAACATCGGCAATGTTCAACTTTTTTCAAACTGCCAAAACCTTGCGTGGCTCTGAAAATAGGAGACCTTATGAATTTGATGGTTAACCATCATTTTCCCAATAGTTTCCCTGTACCATCCTGTACCTATTTTCAGGTCCGCATCCTGCCCCAATTCGCCTGCCCCATCCTGGTCATTGACATGGTCCTGTCGAAAAGGTGGAAAGACTGGCAGCGCTTGGCTTCCCCAAGGAAATGGCTGCGCAGGTGCAACCGGGGAAATTCCTGAAATTCCTTCTGAGAAAATGGGTCACCGGGGTACCCCATGGCGTCCCCATGGCTTCCCCATCACCAAATTCGACATGCCCAAGGCGTACCTGGCATGCGACAAGAGCGAAGAGCTTGCAGCAAACTTTCTCTTTGACAATGCGGGTGATTGAGGCGGATTCTCTAATTTGTTTTGTCTGGGATGTTCTTAGATTCTTAGATCTTCTTAGCTTGTTGATCAATGTTGATGCCTGTTTGGGAAGATTTCTATCAGGCAGCAACCAGCCAACCGGCCAAGATTCGATAAGATTCGTTTCGCTCGACAGGTCGATGCTCGTTCAGTGAGAGGGTGGAAGTGCTGAAGAAAATACAGGGTTCAGATGATTCAGTGAATTGCTAAGTCGGTAGTAACCATAATATAACCCACTTTAGATCATCTTAGATCCACTTAGACTGTATATGCAATATCCCCACGGAAATATATCGTTTAAATGGTCTATCACACGTCGTGTTGATCGATTAGAAGTTCTGTTTTGAAGGCGCGGAAGAGGTCAACATTTCCGTGCTTCAAATGAAAGCTCGGACAGCAATGTACAGAAATGGTGATGTCACCCGCAAACGCATTGCATTTCACTTTGTGAAGCCTGGCCAAAAGAGTGAGCTGCGGAGTTTGCAGCAATTTTTCGCGCACTTGGTCGTGATGATCTTGAAAACCAGGTCCTTCCAGAGTGCCAAAAAGCAGTCCTGCCAAGGAGTCAGCAGCCGCAGTGAGCGTTGATGAGTCAATGTACATAGCAGATCATAGTGTGCTAGCTCCAAGTGCCATCAAAAGATCACAAGATGTGATGGCAGGATATGGCAGGTATCAAAATCAGAGCCATGCTGGGACAGCTAAGCATGGCAAACAGCGCTGCTACCGCACTGCACCAAGGATTTCCAACTTCGAACGCTTGGGTTGGACGCGCTCCACGGATGAGGACTTCGACGTGTACTGGGCCTCCGTTCATAATGTAAGTCTCCTCAGATGCGGTGTCAAAAACCGAGTTACCATGCTTTTGAACACTTTGAAGATTTTGAAGTCCAGCAGAACGGTAAAATTTTCAGCACATAGAGTTGATATTTCATGTCGGTAGAGATGATTTTATTTTTCAGGCAATCCCTGCACTGAGTCCCTGCCGTTACACTGAGGTTCGAGGGCTTTTCAATCCAGAAAATTTGTCCAAACGTCTCCGAGATGGTCAGGCCCGAGTGTGGTTCTGCTCCAAAAATCTCCAGCGTACATCAGAATACCAATATATAATATGATAATATATGATATATAAATATATATAAATGGTATATAATAATATTCATGGTTATAATGTTCATGTTATATTCCTAGTATATTACAATAACAGAATACCAATAGGACAATTGCTTATTTGTAATTCACTTCCCACACGGTAACTCCATGGATTTCCACATGTGCCATGGTCAAGGCTGTTCGATTGTCGTGGGGCATGGTCATCAACCCATCGGTGTTTCTATACCGGCATTACAAGGATTCGATGGATGACCATAGCCCATCCCATATGCTCCATGTATGGTATATTTACCTACAAAACTGGGTCATTTATGGGGCAAATGTTGGTAGATATTCCAGCACCATGGAGCATATGGGCATATACCTCGTAAATATACCGGAGGCTAATCTGTTGTAAACAGGTTGGTGCCGCTGCCAACTTTTGAGCAGCCCTTTGACAAGCTGTGAAGCGACATTTTCATGACGCACCAGCAGCTTGTTTGGTTCAACTCTTCCAAATCCGTTTGTTTGCTCTATTTCTGAAACATGTCCTCACAGATGAGCTTGTTCATCTTCGCCATCTGTCTTCAGCTCGGCGGAACTCTTCGGCATGAAGATAAGGGCCTCAGCGAGGAGTCGTTTCAAGACCCAAAGCCACGTTCTCCTCCATACGTTACTCGCAATAAAGGCTTTAGTGTTGCTGACTCCCAGTCAATCGCCGACGTCATCCATGGCTGCTTCAATGAGAATATCACTCAGTTCCAAGACTGCATCGAGAAAGAGGGCAAAGAGAAGTTTGGTTGGCCGCTCTATGCCATTGTCTCAGACCCCCGGAACAGCTTCATGCTCGCAGGTGATTGTCAAGCGCGATACTTCTATGGTGACTACGGGAAGCAGCAATACTACATTTGGGTTGCCGCCACTACTTGCAAGTGAGACTTGGCCCTGCTGTGGTTCCCAACCACAGACAGGTAGCCCTCGATTTTGAAAATCACGCGCGGCTGCCAGCTGTGGGTTGGAAGCTGTTGCTTTTATGAAGTGATTATTTCAGCTAGAGGACTTGTTTTTCGGCAGCCTACTGTAGGCATTTCTGAAAGGTCACCAGAAGGCATATCGTTCATGTTGATTCCATATTTGGATACTGAACGGGCGGAGAAGATGATGATAAGCACCACACTGGGACTTGAAATTCTACGACCTAGGAGGAGCAGGTCGGATAGACAGTGCGTGACAGTGCTGTTTTTCACATGCCGTCTACCCTGGAGCCCTCTGATATCCTTCATACAGATCGTACAGAGATGTACATAACATTTTTCTTGGTGTCGATTGTTTCTTCTTAGTAAAAGGTTGATTGGATTTTGCAAACCTTTGTCTACCTTGCCAAAGAGCGGCATGATTGGCTGTGGCTGCTGCAACTGTTGTGTCTTGCAGGTTGTGAACCACTTTCCCAACCACTATGAGCTTACCAGAAAGGACCAAAACGCGGTCGTTTTGCGCTGGTGGTGTAGATTTGCGTCCAAGTGCCACAGGATTCTCATGAACATATCATGGATTAAAGGGGATAGTATGGAATTCGGAGTCAATATCCATAGTGGAACCGTAAAAACCCATGATTCTTGGGGATGCTCCCGTCCCAACGAGGACCTAATGGCAAGGAACATCAAGCGCTACCGACGTGAGCGAGAACGGCAGGACATGGCGCAAAGGGCGGTGAAAAAGACGAGAAATCAATGGGTATATATAGTACTGTATACTGTATATGTATATATATATATATGCCATGAAATGTTCATGGCATTCCTCCTTTTTGGACAGAATATGTATATATATATACATGTATATTCTAGAACCGAGATGCCCATATATTCAGAAAATCTTCGCATACCATGTTTTCATATGTTTTCATCGTACTCCAGACCTGGGCTTAGATATATTACTTTCATAGGCATTTCAGCTAAATTTGAATGCAAGAGTTGGGTCATGGAGAACCCAATGCCCCATGAGTGTGAATTTTTGCGTGTGGTGAAAACGAAAAACAAAAAGACAACTGGTGTTGGGGCTGGCTTTGGGATTGGAACTTTTGGTGGTGGCCCTAAAGGTCCTAAAGGACATATCCCCTTATTCGGTCTTTATACCAGCCACACATACTCAGAAATCATCGCACCGCACAAAATCTTCGCACTCCACAGATGTCATCGCACTGCACAGCGGGTGAGTACACATACTCAGAAATCATCGCACTCCACGAAATCATCGTATACTAGGCAACGGAACGTATTTCATTTTTTTCCGGAAATTAGCCAAAAGTTCATATTCTTATTTTCTTAGCTAAAATGGCCCGGAATCACGTCTTTCTGGAATATGGGGAAGATGGAGTTCCCACCTGAGACATCAGCAGCTTCACATACTATCGCATTCCATGCCGTTTTTGCTCCTAGGAGTTTTTTTTTTCGGCACTCGAGCAGAGTCTGCGGGGCAGAGTGGGAAACTTTTTTGGTATGTGAAAGACGATTGAATGGTGTACCAATGTAGGGCTATTGGGAAGGTTTAAGGGGTCCACACATACTTAATTTTTTTCGCATACCAGACAATTATATATCGCACTCCAGGGTGTCATCGTACTCCACGGTTTGACAGTCTGCCTTTTGGGAAACAATGACTGTGTGCTCGCAAGTGGTATTTTGGTGCAAAATGACATTAATTTCGGGATTTCCTAAAAAGAAATGAAGTTTTGGGGCAGGAACAGGTGCAGTTGTCAATGCACGTGTCAGAAGAAAAGGTGCGCTTGGCAAACATCATGAAACCCAAATTTCACCTCAATGGGGTCTTTGCAATTTTCTAGATTTTCCAAGCCGTTTTGGCATGAAGTATGATAGTCCCTGGAATATGGGTAAGAAATTGCTAGACATATATAAAAAAAGACTGTCGAATGGGATGTTTGAGAGCTCACCAATTTTGGAACATATACTCAACTCATGAGGGACTGCACTTGGGGGTGACACCAGCCAGGAGCAGTTGGCTGTGGCAGATGGCATGGACCTGAACCCAAGAAAGAGAGGTCAATCAGAGCCAAATCTCGCAAGCTTTGAAGCTTGGAAAATGCGTGGGAAAATGCCTGGAGAAAATGACTGGAGAGCATGAATCGGTCAATCTTTCACATGTCTTTTGCAGATCCTTTCAATAGGAGCTCTCATTTTTTTTCACAATTTGACTGTAGAAATGCATTCCGCATGCAACGAGCAGTTGGGGTGTGCAAGCATAATTTTGAGTAATTTTGTTGCACCATGAAAGCGTACTTTGTTGCATCCAAAGCTAAGGAAAGAGTACCGTTGGAGTGGGTCCCAGCGTGTCTTGCCTGAATCTCTACGTATATTTATATATCATGCATATATCACATATACCCCCAAATCATCAATTTTGATAGGCTTTTCCATTCATACCAAGTTCGTAGTAATAGCTCCCCCCTAGAAGGTAAGAGTCTCCCACAATGAAAAAACTAGGGCTTGTCATACATAAAAAGCAACCAACCTGCCTGCCAATGGGTCGAGATTTCTCTTTTCAGTCGCAACCTCCCTCCCAATGGGGTGAGATGGTGAGATTGGGCATGGGACATCCCTTCAAAACTGTATTTTTTCAACCATTGAAACACAATTAAAACCATTAAAGAACACAACATATATCGTGACTACCACAAATTTTGGATTTTTGAGCAGGGTGTTGTTTAATAGGGTGGTCGCACATGTTTATTAGTAAGGAGGGACCAACCCAAACTGGTATTGCCAAACACTTTTTGGAATGTGGGTGTTGATTAATTCGGGCTGCTTATTAATATGCACTTAACATTATAAACCATCCAGCTATTGGGGTACCCATATTTATGAACCCCTCATATAGATTTATTTGTTATACTTTTTTTTATTGATCCATACAGTGAATTCCTGCACTTGTTGCAATCCTCAAAATTCTCGAGCTTGAACCCAGGACTTACTCCCTTCCGAACGACTATGCTTTGTTTGTCGAGGCAGGCCTAGTGTATACGGTGATGACATGAGTCTGGTCGATTTCCCTAATATTAAACGCCCCCGCAGAAACCATGGTTTAGTGGTGGATTTACTCATATGTGGGACCATTTTAGGGGGTTAGGGGGATGGGAATATTTGGGCTGACCCAGCTCTGACACAGAGTTCTTGGCTGTGAACATGCGGTGAAAGATCCTTCCTGCAGGAGTTTCGGAAGAGTCCAAACTCAACATGGATTGCAAAACCAACAGGCACTACGAACAGACAGAAGCTGTGGAATTGACTTCGGACACAGAAAAGCAACTCACGACAGACTCTTATGGCATTGAATAAAGACGCGCAGAGATGGAATTGACATTCCAGGAAGCAGCGATTATGACTTTCAGCAGCTGAGGTAAAGCACAGGGCCGTGGAATTTTTCTGGTCTCAAAACTGTGGGATCGTCAGCTCCGTTCTTTTTGCTTTGGCTTGTAGATCTTGTGGCCGGCGGTTTGCGCTGAGGAACCAACTCAAAAGGTGGTCGAATCCTGGCCAGAAGGACTGCTGCTGTGCGCTGCTAGGCAGGTTGCGCCTGTTTTCGGGCAGCAAAACTGTCTGTTGCGCCTGTTACAGGAGAAAAACCAACAAGGTCAGCCACTTCCCTTTCGGGAACCGTACATCATCTCACGCACGGGTCCAAGTGACGGTCCAAGTGACGGTCCAAGTGACGGTCCAAGTGACGGTCCAAGTTCCAAGGATTCCAAGGATTCCAAGGTCGAATCCTGAAATGTTTTGAACGATCCAAGAGTTGCATCATTGCTGCAGGTTACATCAGCGATCCATTACTTGTGGGGGGCAAGAAGTTCGACATGAGGCGGGCAGGCTGAGACCATCTGAAAAAATCGTACTGCTGCTGTTGATTTTGTCGCTCGGAAAGTACAGGTACACTCAGTAGAATTTGCAGATTGATCAGTGTCAGGCTGTATGTCCTGGTCACCAACTACAAACCATTGAAGGTGGGCCATGGTGGGCCTTAAAAACTGCAGCTTTACTGGTGACCATGGTCCAGCCATGGTTTTGACCAAAAAGGCTCTGAAGGCTGGACGATTCCTGCAGCATCCTGCAGCAATATTTAGCTCGAGTGCCCCAAAACAAAGGCACCAAAAAGGAGCCGGTTGGCACCTTCCATGTTGTGAGATTGCGCCGAATTTTGCTCCGATTGTACCTGGGCTTACCCCGTCGGTTGAAGAGACAACAGGAGAGCTATCGATTTACCAGTCAAAAAACGGAGTTTGACCGACCCATACTACTGTGATAGAGTTTCATGGATGACACACCAGAACCATGTAGATCATTTTGGTGGTGTCATGTTCGAAACTCATGTCACGTGTGTACGGCAAGTTTATCTCAGAGGAAGCTTAAATGGTTTGACATGACTCTTATCTTGTGATTCTGTCACACAGGATTTTCTAAGATTCAGGCAATTCATGGTTCCCAAGAGAGGCAGTCGATTGGCATTGAATTGCCAGAGATCTTGAGGTGTTGTGCTGTTTTCAGCCCACTATTGACACTGCGTCAGCCCAGATGGAGCAGCTTGCACCGCTTTTTGGCCGCAGTTGTGTTTTTTCAGCCAAGGTCTCTAGGTCGCAGCTTTGATGAAATGTTGGCAACATGTCTGTCACAGTTCGTTGGCAACAGTCATATTGAGGTTTCCTAAAATGGGGGTACCCCTAAATCATCAATTTTACAAAATTCTCCCATGAATTCCATTATAAACCAAGCATTTTAAGGGGTACCCACATGACATATGGAAATCCCACGAACCCCCCAAGATCGGATCTGTTTCGTTGGGGTGACCATGGCACCATGGCACCGTGGAGCCTTTGAGGCTTGGTGTCTTCTTCGTAGCGCAGAATCTCTGCCCGAAGCTGGCAGGCATTGTCCCTGAGTCGCCTCCTTGGACGGCTTCCAAGGGTTTCCATAACCAATCGCTGGATGGTTGATATATTTCATGGAAAATCCTATAAATTTAAGTGGATGGAAGTTGGAGGCACCCCCCCAATGGGAAACCTCTTTTTATGTACTTAGAACACAATGATAAACAGGATAGACCAGTATTCACGTGCCGTGAATATGATAAGTATGAACCCTTGTCTCACTGGAATGTTCCCAAGGGTTCAATAAGTTCAATACGCTTCAAGCTGAATCGCTCGGTTTTCTGGGAAATCTGGGAACTTGCCACAGATGGATTTCCCACCTTCAGATGGCTTGCCTTTCGCTAAGTTCTGTTTTGAGTTTCCTGCCCCTCATCCTGACGGCCATCACCTTCTTTGTCATGCCTTGACCTTGGAGATTTTGGACCCGGGTCGATGGTGGTGCAGGTGAATGTGCTGTGAAACGCAGTCCAAGCAATTCCGATTGTACAGTATTGTATTGTAGATGATTTGACATGATTTTACTATGTTGGGTGGTTTTGATTAACCTTTAGGCATGATAAACGGAATGGGGTTGTTGGCTTTCCCTTTTTTTTCGATCCCAGGAAGAAGATCGGCGATGCTCAAACAGAAGCTGCCAGCGCTGCGTTGGTTGGGAAGGAGGCGATCGTTGAAGGGATAAATCATGATAAATCGCTACACTACTTTTTTGTGACGACTGATTGACATACATTGCATACACGTCTAAGGTCATTCTTTTTTATGATGAATGATTGACATACTCGTACATTGCATACACGTCTAAGGTCATTTAAGATCACAAGATATAGATATTCTTATCTAATTTGATCATGTATGTATATATATATAGATATGTATATATAGATAGATATGTAGATATATCTAATTTTATCATTTTATCTATATCTAACATATTTTATCTATATGTTCTCACATGTAGAAACCAATCTCTTGCGCACCTTCCTGGGTTCGCAGCTGTTGCCTGGGAGGCCCCTGACTTTGACGTTGAGGATGAGTCCGGGAAACAAAGCTTGAAGGCACGCAGCTCTTCACGGTATGAACAAATGGCATGGTGATTCAATGCTGATGTCATAGACTTTGAATAGAGTTTCTTCATAGAATTTAGTAGGGACAATATATGATAATATGGGATTATCACTGGGCAAGTCATATTGGAAAATCCATGCTGAAAATGATGCGCCAGTAGCAGCTAGAAGTGTGCAGGCTTTCTTACAAAAGAACAAGAAGCCCACTGCCAGAGCCTCGCGCGTTTGAATCCATCGTTCCCTGCAGAGCCAACTGTTAAAGACTGGCCTGTCAAACACGCATTTTGATGGAACATGATGCTGGCGAAACATTCTTGAATTTGTATGTATAATCTTGTTCGAATCTGGTTTGTTTTTCCATATTTTTTCAAATGAGGTACTGGGATTTTATGGACACACCAGGTGATTGACTTCTACCAGAACTTTTGTCCTGCTTGTGTACCAGCAGCTCGAGACCAAGACTGATTTCGGACAACACGTCTTTTCCAAGCAAACAACAAGGAACTTTTGACATGTGTTAAGGATTCTTAGGGACTTTTGCTGCCAGGCGAAGCAAATTGAAGAGCTGGCTGGCAGTGAAAAGTACAAGGACAAGGCACTTTGGAGCTCTATACATTAAGTGATGTTTAGATATGGAGGTTTCCTGAAATAGCGGTGCCCCCAAATCATCCATTGTATATAATAGTACAAGTACCGCACAAGGCGGTGGCGGAAGTCTCAAAGATAGGAAACTATAGGAGAGGTGAGTTGTTGTGATGCATGGATGGCAGAGCGAATCCACTGATGGACCGAAAGGTGGTTGTGAGTTTTGGAGTGGTTGCAGTGGTCACCTCACTCACAACTGCAGGATGTAGTGCGGTGTAGCGAAGTGCAATGTAGTTGTAGTGCAGTTGACTATCTATCTGTCTACCTGTATCTGTATATGTGTTATCTATCTATCTATCTATCTGTCTATCTATCTGTCTATCTGCTTATCTCTCTATCTGCCTGTCTGTCTATCTAGCCATCTTCCTACCTATCTATCTACCTACCTATGTACCTATCTACCTATCTACCTGTCTACCTGTCTATCTGCAAGCTTGAAAACGAAGCAATTCCGCCAGACTTCCTCAACTTTTGAGTTTGACAACATCAGAAGAGCAGCAAGTTTGCGAGACTTCCTCAATTCTTGAACTTGACAGCATCAAAACGGAAGCAATTCTGCGAGATTTCCTTAATTTTTGAAGTTGGCAACATCAAAAACGAAGCAATTCTGCGAGACTTCCTTCAAAAATGGAAAGATGACTGCAGAGCTGACGGCCTCGTACAAATGCGTTTTGCGTTTTTCCACTCCTCCTGTCTAAAGTACTGTGCCTGCCACGAAAAAGTGAGGCCAGGGCATACGAAGTGCTGCACCTATCACACAAATTCATTTTCCCAAAGCTGAAGATCTGATGCTCCAAAATTCACCCCCTCCCAGGAAATCAACATCTCTGATGGACATGTCTTTTGTATTGCACCTGCCAGGGAAAGTGCATCTTTCCAGATCCTCTTCAAATGTCCCACGCCTGCCATTGTTTTTGGAATGCTATTAAACCCTTTGCGCTGGCCACGCAAAACGACATCTGAACGTCCAAAAGTTGTCTGATCATCCGTTGTTTTTAACATTTTGACTTGGAAAAATGTGCTTCGCGCGACAGAGGCGTGCACTTTTTCGACGTCTCAACTTCCAAAAGTGCTCCAAACCTGGCGTGTTTTGTACATGTTGACTTGGAAATGTGCTTCGCGCCACAGCGGCGTACACTTTTTCGACATCTTGGTCTGAACATCATGTTTTTAACATTTTGACTTGGAAATGTGCTTCGCGCCACAGCGGCGTTCACTTTTTCGACGTCTCAACTTCCAAAAGTGCTCCGAACCTGGCGTGTTTTGCACATTTTGACTTGGAAATGTGCTTCGCGCCACAGCGGCGTACACTTTTTCGACATCTCGACTTCCAAAACTTTTGACTTCGACAGGTGCTTCGGGCCACAACGGCGTGCAACTTTTCATCTCTCATCTGGCCAGATGGCTCCGCACCCGCCGCTTTCGCGAGCCTACTTTTCAACCCTCCAGAGCCACAAATCATTCGAAGAACACAGTGTGTCGCCCCTTTGCTACCTTGTCGCGCACCTGCATCTTCTTTCCTCCGACTCTTTCTCTTCTCTGATCTTCATTTCTCTTCTCTTCTCTTCTCTCCTCTCCTCTCCTCTTCTCTTCTCTTCTCTTCTCTGACTCTTCCCACCTCTGCTTTTCCATTTTTTTGTCGGAAGTTTGACTTCTAAACTTTCTTCGATAAACCATCCAGCTATTGGGGATCCCCCATGTATGGAAAACCCCATATGTTTGGTGTAACACTCAAAAAGTTCGGCAAGACCTGTTCACCTGAGGTCAACTTCATGCTGGTCAATCTGGGATCTTTGGATGATTCGAAAAAGCAACCTGGTGAAATATCCGTCGCTTTCACCAGCATCAGGTCCTGTCAATTTCCTTCCCAATAGATTATATTTATTTATATATAATTATATAACATATATTTACATAGATTCTGTGCATACATACAAAATATATGTGTATAATGTAATATATTTGTATATAATATATATATATTTAAAATATATAATATAATATATACAAATAAATAATATACATAATATGTACATATTGCACCTATGTTTGTGTATGTGTGTGTTGCAGTTTACGTCGATCCGCGATTGCGTCGACGAAAAATTTTCATCAAAGGGTTTCAATTTCTGACCTGTTCCTCGGTCCAAGGTACGCCAAAGAGCGTGAACTGCCAGGTCCTGGAATTTCACGTTGTGCCAGTTGACTGCCAGGGTGTGGGGAGGTTAAATATATGAGGCTGAACATGGGGACAGTCCAAACATGGCCTTTTCAAATCCTTTTAATGGGGAGAAGTATGGTAATGATGATAAACCATGGAAAATGTTTTAACGACTTCATGGTTTTCCCAAGATTTTCGGACAAATCCATATCATGTTTGAAGAGTTTTGGAAGATGATACCCCCAGATCTTCAGAAATTGGACATGTCACCACCAGCCGTGGCCATGGAAATGTCAACAGGAAATGCTTGGCATGGCCACGGGCGGCCTTCAGCAGAATATGGCCTCAAGTGAGCCCGTTGTTGATCCAAGTGTGAACTTGCTGGTATGCCAATTGGTTCAAACTTAAGAACCAGTACATAGAATCTACCAATAGGGATTAAATTGGTTTAGGTAAATTCAAGATTCAAGCTTCCAGCAGATTGATGGGGATCATGGGGAAGTCAAGCATGGGAATCTCTGTCAATCATCCAATGGCTTTGATGAATCCGCATGCAATAGGTACATTCCGCACAAGGACGGGCCACGCAGCGCAGCTTGCAAGATGCGTTTGTCTCCATTTATTTTAGGCTATAGCACACCCAATTCCATCGGATTATAGCATTGTATATCATTCTGGGTAAATTACACCGACCTCACGTCGCGACCGAACCCTGGAATCATGGTTTTTATAGGGAAATCATCCCCAAATGGCCTTAATTCAAATTAGTGAAATGTTATAATTTACCCAGATCATTGTATACTGTCCCCTGTCTGGACAAACCCAGATTGGTCTCTGTTGCAGTGGACGAAAAAATGTTTGAAGATGTTGCTGCGATAATGGACTATATGCCAGGTTCTCCTTGACGCTGATGGAAAGGTCGTCAAGAACTTCTCAGTGAAATTGTCCTGTGGCGGCATCAGATGGATTTGTTTGAAATTTAATAGGGAAAATAGATGAGAATAGTGATAGTTCATTGGACGTTTTGGGTACCCCATTTTCACCAACAACAGTGTTGGAAGCTGATGCTAAGGCCATCCGACTTGGATGATGTGCTTGAGGGAAGCAAAAAGGACTCGTAGAAAAAGGCAATGACACAGCAACAGATAGGAAATGAGACATCAAATGATGGGAAGTGACCAGACATGGTAGAGCACGATGAAATGAAATCATTGGAATTGCAGGAAGTGATACAGTACCCATATACAAAATTATACAATCGATACCACTAGGCCATTGCTGGGCACAGCCAAGGGAAAGCGTTCCCTTCACAGCACAGCGTTGCGCAGCGTGGAAAAGGTGTGCCCCACGACTGATATCAGGAATAAAACATAATAAAACCAAGCCGATCAATTGCTGGGCCCATTTGACATCGTTGGATTCGCTAACCTGGGACCTGGTTACTCAATTGTTCGACATACACCGTCATAGACTATACTTTGCAGCTCGGGATCTCCAATTGTGACATCTTGTGACATTACAAGAAAACCCCAGCTGCAACCCCAGCCAGGTCTTCTTGTACCGTGGTGGCTTTTGTCGTTTTTGTGCCACAGCCTTGTTAGCAAAGCATGTGCCAACTGCTCACTCTTCAGTCCTTCAAAGTGGTTTAACAAAATTGGTCACCACTGACCAAGTTTGTAGTCAGGTCGAGCAGTATAGCACAGATGTTGCGGAGATCGACAACATCTTTGTGTGTCCTGGCTATGGTTTGAAGAAATTTTGATCCCGCAAGCTGAAAGCAAAGCAAGATGTCAGGCACCTGACCAATGTAGCCATCCAGAAACAAGCAGAGGAGCTCAGCATCTCAGCGTTGAGGTGCATATAAAAATGTTACGAATGATTCACAACTGATCTCACTTGTAACTAGTACAGCCATATATAGACATCCCTGTAAAAAAAACTATAAATTACTGGAAGATTGTGGCAGCATCTGTGTTTTGATAATTTTTGGATATTCGTCCGGGTTTCCAACGTGATTTTCATTGGTGTCGACTTGGAGGATTACAATGAACAACATGGAGGGAAGTGGGTTGACAGCTCAGCTGACCGTGGCGCGCAAACAAACGGCACCGGGGATCACCAGGGATTCCAGAGTCATCGCGAGGTGAGAAGTTGAGCCTTGGAAAAATCATCGAAAAAAATCATGAAAAAATCTAGTGCCCGAAAAAGATAAAATAGAACTCCAAAATCCCAGATCTGGTTGGTGGTTTGGAACATTAATTCTATTTGTCCATATATTTGGAATAATCATCCCAACTGACTTTCATATTTTTCAGATGGATTGGTATACCACCAACCAGCAGATGAATAGTACCCTAAAATCCCAACGGAACAGGTCGTGATTTTCCTGTCCATTCCGGCCTCGATGAGCAAGGCGATCAGCGACCTGATGCTCTTCATTGAAAGCACGCGAGGAAGAGCTGCCAGTCGCATGGCAGGGATGGAAATACCCAGTTTTTTTTTGGCCAGAAAATGATGGGAACCAGTGGGAAAAATATGATGTTCAGATTGTTTTATCCATTGGGGGTCCCATCATTTTCAGACTCACCCATATATCAGAGATGTTCATGGGATATTTGTAACTAGCCATAACAGAACTTGACTTATGTGGATAACCCAATAGATCTGACTGGACCTCGTTCGGGGGCCTTGTCGTCCGAATGGTTTTACGCGGTCCATGTCCGGAGTTTCACCTAAGGTGACAAGCTTGCATCAGATATGGAGCAAATCATAGTTCCTGGGCATAGACTGCAGCATTTCTTGAGCGGTGGATGGTCAAGGATGGATGTTTGGAATATGCGGGGCTAAGGTCCATTCATTGAAGGCAGGCACTGTGCCGTCTTGCCTGCTCATCGCATCGAAAATGTTTGATCTGCATGGAGAGGCTGTCCAGAACGTCATTGTGAATGACAAGCACAGTTTCGAGATGTATGGCGAGCTGGGTGGTGGAGATTGATGGAAGTTCTGGAAAAGAATGCAGAATTGAATATGGAGAGGAATCAGCATCCAGAATATGACAAGATAAAGGAAATCAATGTGCGGGTACTAGGCGGGTTTGTCTGAAAACATATTGAAACTATGACAAGATGTGTATTCCCAAGATTATTGATGGTTGATCATTGATTTTCCATTTAAAATTATGAAGGTTGTGTTCCAAATTGAAGGTAGATTCATCCAATGGCCCGCTTCAGGCTTTGATGTCCTAATCGACAAGGATTTGAGGCGCGCCGGGGACACAAACGAGAAGTTTGCAAGTGGCTTCTCAGTAGTATACTGATTACACAACATATTAGCAATCATATAGTAAAACATGCTTTCATATGGTATCTATTGTATCTACATATATGTCTACATTCATGATCATTATATAGATATGATTTAGTCTTTTCTTTAAAACAACACATATAATTACACATAATTTACATACTATAACCAATTATAACCATACATAGAATATATATCAATACATTGTTCCCGTCGCATCTTGGTTGGGTTGGCGCCACAAGGCCGTGGCTCTTGGAAGTCAATGCTTCGCCGTGGCTCAGATCGAGCCAGGTCTTACCTGCGCTATAGCCAGTAGTCTATAGGAATTTATAGCTGTTCACCATATTTCACCTTTTTGACGACCCCCCAAAAAAGAAGTGAAACATTTTGGATGTGATAATCTAATGCAGTGATAGATGTAATGTAGGATTCTTTTCAAGATGCAGAAACTGTCTCCAAATCAAGGCGGACCCACGTGCAGCCAGCTGTCGCTGAGGCCTTCAATGACAACTACAACTGAGGTTCCACACTCAGCACCGCCATGCAGACTGCCATGCCGACCGCTGGCAATGCCAAGGATGATCGGCTTCTAAAGCTGATGCCTCAATGGGCCAATCCAACCGCTGGTTCGCTTTATGAAATTCGACTTAAAATGACTTCAAAACTTCAAGATGTTAAAAGTAAATATAGTACATGATGTTATTCTTGTTTGAACAGCATTTCATGAAATCTCATGATTCTGATTGTCACAGCAACCCTTAGGTTGCGGCTCATCAACGATGCTCTAAACATCGCAATGACCTCAGGCTTGAACTCTGAAAATGCTGGTGATTGCTGGTGTTGGTTGATCTAAAATTCATGATCTCAACATGAACCGTCCTAACAAGGCCATCAGCGAAAAACGTGGACCGCCTGAAGGTGAGTTGCGAAAAAGAAATGTTCTCCAAAATGTAGTGGTCTACGTGAAAATAAATCTGTTTTGTTTGCAGGTGAAAGCTGTAAAGAAACCTTTCATATGGTTTCATACGCTTTCCCACCGTTTCCCAAGGTTTCCCCTGTTTTTCGCAGGCATAGATGATGAGTTTCCCACGGTGCTTGGGGACTTTGCCAGCGCCGCAGATGCGATCTGCAGAACTCTCCAAAATCCGTGCAGCAATGACTTAGTTGATCTAGTTGGGTGTTCGGTTGAAAAAAAGGTTGGGAAACAACAAAATATCCTGTTCTGGATCAAGGTGAGGACAGCTTTTGGCTGGATTTTGAGGCATGTATCTTTGATGAGAAGCCAAAACATGAGAAACGACCTCCTCCTCCTCCTCCTCCTCGTCCGTTTCTTGGGATTGTACCGAAAGATCAGCTGGTGGTGAATTGGCAAGATAATTTTCAAAATTTCTATAAATTTCTGCTTGTTGAATACTTGAAGTAATACTTGTCGTCGTCAGATGTCGTTGCTTCTTCCGGCTAGCTGCAGTGCCCCAAGCAGCATGCTTTATTCGGACATGACAATTGGGTGCTGCATCAATCTGCATCAACCATGGGGTGCGGAGGAAAGAACAAGTTGTAACGTTTGCTTTTTTAAGGACCTGTTCTACCGGTTGACAATCCATGTCTGTCCAGATTTTGGACTTCTGTAATCTACTTTTCTGTCTACACATAATCACCACAGCGTTGAAAAGCAGCAACCACTTCAGCTCAGCCACCAAGCACAAAATCAGATCCACCATTTGGAAATGAGCCATTTATCCGTGATAGATGCCGAGGAGCGCTGCGTCTGTGGGACACCTGTTAGAATCTGACCCATTGCACTAGGCAAAACTTTACCTTCGACCCCAAACAGCCCCCAGGAATCCC